CTTTGTTGCAAAATTGGAAGCCCTTCAGACTGGGTTTTTTGCCTTCGTTTGGATCAACAGCAAAAACATATGTGAGAAAATCTGAACTTGATTGACGCAAGTCTCTTTTCAGCTATGTAACTATGTTTGATACCAGAGATCAAAACAGGAACAGGGCTGTTAAATTGTGTTGTGCATGTGTGGGGATGTTCCCTGTGGTGTTGTATATGTTTGGAGGTTGCATGTGTAGAGCAGACTATTTGTGTTGTATTGTGTGTGTAAAGGGGTTTGTTTCTGGCGTACTGCATGTGGCTAGGAGCTGTAGTGTGTGTTTCTGGGTTGTAAAGTATGTGTGTGTGTGTGTGTATTTATATAGGGCCTGTGGAGTGTGTGGGCCTAGGGGATGTAGTGTGTGCATGTAAGGAGCTGTACTATGTGTGTGTGTGAGTGTATCTAGGGGCTCTAGTTTGTGATGCATATAGGAGCTGTAGAGCACGTGTATAGGTGTGGTAATGTATGCATAGGTGGTGTAGTGTGTACAGGGGGTGCAGAATATGTATTTATAGGGGATATAAATTAGTGTATTTGCATGCAGGGGATGTAATGTGTGTGTTTATATGGGTATAACGTATGAGAGTGCAGGGAGTGTAGTGTATGTTTAGGGGGTATAGTGTATTTACTGTGTGTGTGTGAGTGCAGGAGGTGTAGTGTGGATATAGGGATATAGAGTATGTGTTGTGTGTTGGTGCAGTGTGTTTGTGTGTCAGTGCAGGGGGTGCAGTGTGTGTAGTGTGTATGTGTGTGTAGTGTGTTTGTGTGTGTGTGAGGGGTGTGTATATAGTGGATATGGCCTCAAATTATTAATTTAATAATTAAACAAAAACAAAGTGAAAAAAAATAAAATAATCCCATTTACTCCCCCTTTTAACTGTGCAGGGGGGAGACCTGATGGTCCAGTGAGAGGGGCCACGCCACACACCGATCCCTGGTGGTGCAGCCGGCAGGTAATTTAGTCTGTACCCCGCAGGGTACAGACCATGTCTCTCTACCTCTCACGAGTGCTGTTTTTTCAGAGCGCCGCCGCGGGTTACCATAGCAACACCCTGATAATCTCAGGGGAGAGAAGGAAGCTGCTCGGCATGCATGGATGGTGAACGGCTCACTGCCCGATCTCCCTTCTGGCCCATGATGGGACAGAACTTCATCTTGAGGCTGGTGCTGTCCTGCATGGGCCAGCAGGAGAGATCTCTTGATCTTTCCTGCCGGCTTTGGCCCATGGCCATCGCGGCCCTCTGGGCATTTGCCTGGTTTGCCCTATGGCCAGTCTGGGCCTGCCTGGGCCATGCGAGGAGGGGGTGCTTGGATGACTGATGACTTTTGGACATCAATCTATACATCTGCTACCAGGGCGGCTTTGGGTAGTTTGAGCGATCGTTGGTCTCTTACCCATTTCTGGTCCTCTGGGAAGACTGCTGCATAGAATTGCTCCAATAGCATCAGTTGTACAACATCTTCCACCGTGGTGGTCTAGCACCAATTAACCCAGTGTGTAGTGGCCTTTTTCCATTTTTTTAGAGCTCTCAGAACCTCGTATTGTATGCATCAGTTCTTCATCAAGGCTGCCTTCTCTGACAGCTTGCCATCCAGGTGGGAACCCATTCTACCTTGTGCAGTGTCACTTAAAATCATCAAGGTACGCATCAATTTCTCATGTTAGAGAAGGTCTTAAATAGCCCTAAGGGAACCTTCCTCTTTTCTGACTGGGGTTTTGGCTCAGCCCCATGATGGGTCTTTGTCGCTGGATCTCAGCCACCTTCAGCTCATGGACCCGCTGTGCCTGAGCAATGGCATCCACATTAGCAATCACTTTTAGGACAATCGCCTGGATGGATTGTGACCAAGGAGTTCTATAAAAGTTGCCTTGGAATTGTTGTTAGTGTGTATTCCCTGCTCTATTAGCAGATCCTTGAGTGATGTTTGTTTCAGCAGCTCATATATGTAATTTTATTCTAACTGTATTTTAATATTAATACATATATATTTATATCTATGCATGTAGAATGAACTTATATTTATATATCTATGTATATCAAAATAATACAAAATATATATCCATATACAAAAAAACATAAACAATTTCATAAATATACACATAGACTTCAAATATATAAAAATGTATATATATTTAAATTCTACATGCATATTTATGTAATATTTTTACACAATTAAGTAATTTTATTGATTGCAATTTGAGGGACCTGCTTGACAATCCAGGCTGAAAGTCTAGAGTATTTAATTTGCTAGCACTGTGTTTAAACCTGTAACTTTCTAGGACACCCAAAACCTATACATGGGTGGGACTGTTTTACTCGGGAGACTTCGTTGAACACAAATATTAGTGTTTCAAAACAGTAAAACATATCACAGTGATGATATTGTCAGTGAAAGTGACATTTTTTGCATTTTTCACACACAAACGTCATTTTCACTGATGATATCATTGTTGTGATACATTTTACTGTTTTGAAACACTAATATTTGTGTTCAGCGAAGTCTCCCGAGTATAACAATAACTCCATGTACAGGTTTTATAGTGTTTTTTGAAAGTTACAGGTTCAAATATAAGGCTTGATTTTCCTTTTTTTTTTTACATTGAAATCTGACAGGTAGTTATGCTGCCTTTGAGAGCGTATGGTCAGTGGTGTATCCTGGTTTTGTGCTGCCCTAGGCAGGACAAAACTCAGGTGCCCCCCAACCCTTCCCCCCACCCCGCCTTCTAAATACACACACACACACATTCACTGACAGATACACATACACTCGCTAACAGAAACACACACACTAACAGACACACACTCACTGACAAACACACTCACACACTAGCAGACACACACACTCACTGACACACAGTCAGACACACACATACACACTAACAGACAAACACAGTCAGACACACACACTAACAGACACACACTCACACAGTCAGACACACACTCACTGACACACACACACTCACAGGCAGACACACTCACACTAACAGACACACACACACACACTACCCCCCCCCAACCACCTTACCTTTGGGAATGCTGGGGGGGGGGTTCCCTCTCTCCCTGGTGGTCCAGTGGCTGCTGGGCTGGGCGGGCGGCTGGCGAGGGAGCACTTCCTCTGAGCGGTCTGCTCAGCTCCCTCGCGTGCCGCACAGAGAGGCTGGGAGCCGGAATATGACGTCATCTTCCGGCTCCCAGCCTCACTGTGCAGCGCGCGAGGGAGCTGAGCAGACAGCTCAGAGGAAGAGCTCCCTCGCCAGCCGCCCGCCCAGCCCAGCGCCCAGTGCCCAGCATGTCAGTTAGCCGCGAGGCTAACTAGGCATTTGCCCTGGGCATTTGGGTGCGGCGTTTTTTGCCACCCCCTGGAAAATGCCGCCCAAGGCAAATGCCTTGTTTGCCTCGCGGCTAATACGCCCCTGCGTATGGTAGCCCAGGAATGAGAATTACCCACATGATGGCATACCATTTGCAAAAGATGACAACTCAAGGTGTTGCAAATGAGATATGTTCAGTCTTTTTTAGTAGCCACTTAGTCACAAACACTGGTCAAAGTTAGCGTTCATAATTGTTTTTTGCATTTTTAACACACAAACAAAATATAAATGCTAACTTTGGCCAGTGTTTGTGACTAAGTGGCTACTAAAAAGGACTGGACATATCCCCCATTGAATACCATCGGTTGTCTACTTTAAAAAAATATAGTGGGACCTCGGTTTTACGAATTTAATGCGTTCTCCGGGATGTTTCTTTTTGCGAAGAATTTGTAAACCGAAACACGGTGTCCCATAGAAATGCATTGAAAACCAATTAATCCATTCTGGAGGTCAGAAAAAAGTAAAAATGAGCTGGCATGGAAACCAACCCACAATGCAGAACACACAATAAAAGGCATGCAAACGACAAAGGTCAGATCCCTACCTTTGCACAGCTTGAGAAACGCACCAAAATGTCCCAAAACAACTGCAAACAATTTCCAGAATAGCTCCAAAACTCAATGCAAAAGCCGCTCCATCACCTCCACACTCGAAGCCACGTGCTATCCACAGGTTTCAGCATGCAGGGGGCGGTGCTATAAACCTCCCAGGTGCAATGCATCCTGGGGAAACTTGCTTTGTATTGCGAAAAAAAATTGTAAACCGAGGCATTATTTTCAATGGATTTATATTTGTAAATCAAAAATTATGTTAACCGAGGCGTTTGTAAACCGAGGTCCCACTGTATGTGCATGTGAGGTGTGATTCAGAGATTTATGACAGATAACAGTGTTACAATGTCACTATTGATAAATTTAAAAAACATATATTTTGAAACAGCAATTTCCTACTTGTACTTATAGCCCTATAACTGAAAAAAGCAGGTAAACACGGAGTGTTTTTAAACTCAGGGCAAAATTTTGAATCGATTTAGAAGTTTTTTTCATTAGCTTTTGTAGATAAGTAAAAGATTTTTCATGTAAAAGTCCAAAAACATGTATTTTTTTCAATTTTTCACCATATTTTATAATTTTTTTGTAAAGTAAATTATATGACATGATACAAATAATGGTATGTAAAGAAAGCCGTTCTTGTCCTGATAAAAACAATATATAATTTGTATGGGAACAGTAAACGAGAGAGAGGAAAATTGCAGCTAAACACAAACACCACAAAAGTGTTAAAACAGCCCTGGTCCTTAACGTAAAACATGGCCAAAACAGTCTGGTCCTTAAGGGGTTAGGATTTCGAAAAAAGGATTTGAAAGTTTTATCAAAAATCATTAAATTGAATGATAATTAAATAATTTGAAAAGTTTATCCAAAAATATTAAATCAAGGTATTAATATTTAATTATTAAATTTGGAGGCGCATTTGGTATTTACTAGAATATCATTATAGATTTAAAGTTAAGACATCTTGCCTTACTTTATTCATTTTTCCTTCTCTCCAACAGTTCACCTAATCTCTCTAGAGATTACTTGCTTTCTGAGTGGTCTTCTATTTGTCCCCATTGGAGGTTCTTGGGTTTGGGATTATGCTTTCACTGTCCATGTCCTACATATATGTATATGCTGCATAGGTAAGACATCGCAAAAATAGACTCTGTATCAACAACACATTATCATTCAAGTATAGGCATGTACAGCACATTTCAGGAAGGTGTGTGTGTGTGTATATATATATATATAGATATATATATATATATATACAGTATCTCACAAAAGTGAGTACACCGCTCACATTTTTTAAAATATTTTATTATATCTTTTCATGTGTCAACGCTAAAGAAATGACACTCTGCTACAATGTAATGTAGTAAGAGTACAGCCTGTATAACAGTGTAAATTTGCTGTCCCATCAAAATAACTCAACACACAGCCATTAATGTCTAAACCGTTGACAACAAAAGTGAGTACACCCCTAAGTGGAAATGTCCAAATTGGGCCAAATTAGCCATTTTCCCTCCCCGGTGTCATGTGACTCGTTATTGTTACAAGGTCTCTGGTGTGAATGGGGGGCAGGTGTGTTAAATTTGGTGTTATCGCTCTCACAGTCTCTCATACTGGTCACTGGAAGTTCAACATTGCACCTCATGGCAAAGAACTCTCTGAGGATCTGAAAAAAAGAATTGTTGCTCTACATAAAGATAGTCTAGGCTATAAGAAGATTGCCAAGAACCTGAAACTGAACTGCAGCACAGTGTGCAAGACCATACAGCGGTTTAACAGGACAGGTTACACTCAGAACAGGCCTCGCCATGGTCAACCAAAGAAGTTTAGTGCATGTGCTCAGTGTCATATACAGAGGTTGTCTTTGGGAAATAGACGTATGAGTGCTGCCAGCATTTCTGCAAAGGTTGAATGGGTGGGAGGGTCAGTCTGTCAGACCATATGCCACACACTGCATCAAATTGGTCTGCATGGCTGTCATCCCAGAAGGATGCCTCTTCTAAAGATGATGCACAAGAAAGTCCGCAATCAGTTTGCTGAAGACAAGCAGACTAATAACATGGATTACTGGAACCATGTCCTGTGGTCCGATGAGACCAAGATAAACTTATTTGGTTCAGATGGTGTCAAGCGTGTGTGGCGGCAACCAGGTGAGGAGTACAAACACAAGTGTGTCTTGTCTACAGTCAAGCATGGTGGTGGGAGTTGCATGGTCAGGGCCTGAATGAGTGCTGCTGGCACTGGGGAGCTACAGTTCATTGAGGGAACCATGAATGCCAACATGTACTGTGACATACTGAAGCAGAGCATGATCCCCTCCTTTGGAGACTGGGCCACAGGGCAGTATTCCAACATGATAACGACCCCAAACACACCTCCAAGACGACCACTGCCTTGCTAAAGAAGCTAAAGGTAAAGGTGATGGACTGCCCAAGCATGTATCCAGACCTAAACCCTATTGAGCATCTGTGGGGCATCCTCAAACGGAAGGTGGGGGAGTGCAAGGTCTCTAACATCCACCAGCTCTGTGATGTCATCATGGAGTGGAAGAGGACTCCAGTGGCAACCTGTGAAGCTTTGGTGAACACCATGGCCATGAATGAGATACTGTTTTGTGAGTGATGTACTCACTTTTGTGAGATACTGTGTGTATATATATATGTCCTATACACTGATCAACCACAACATTAAAACCACCTGTCTAATATCATGTGTCCCCCCTCCCCCTTGTGCTACCAAAACAGCTCTGTTGCATAGAGGCATTGACTCTACAAGACTTCTGAATGTGTCATGTGGAATAGCACCAAGACATTAGCACCAGGTTGCAAGGTGGTGCCTCCATGGATCTGATTTGTTGTTCCAACACATCCCACAGATACTCAATCAGACTGATATCTGGGGAATTTGAACTTTCTGTCATGTTCCCCAAACCATTCCGGAACAATTTTTGCAGTGTGGAAGGGTGCATTATCATACTGAAAGAGGCCACTGCCATCAGGGAACATCATTGCCATGCAGTGGTGTATGTGGACTGCAACAATCTCTAGGTAGGTGGTAAGTGTCGAAGTAAGCTCTGCAGCCCTATGCACAGCAAACTGTGATGCACTGTGTATTCTAACACCTTTCATGGCCACGATTAGGTTTTTCAGTATTCTACAGTAGCTCTTCTGTATGATTGGATCTGACCAGTTGTCCTTCCTTGCACTACTTTTGATAACCACTGAAACACCCCACAAGCCTTGCTGATTTGAAGATACTTTGACCCAGCCTTCACTTTTTGGCCCTTGTCAACATCACTTCTTTTTGCTTGCCCATTTTTTCCCAACACATGATAATCAAGAGTTGACTGTTCACTTGCCGACTAATATATCCCAGGCCTTGACAGGTGCCATTGTAACATTATAATTAATGTCACTCACTTCATCTGTCAGTGGTTTTAATGTATTGGCTGATCAGTGTATAGGTATATAGTTATCTATATTTGGATTATCTTAGCAGTGATACATTATTATTATTATTATTATTATTGGTATTCATATAGTGCCAACTTATTCTTCAGCTCTTTACAATAGTGTGAAAGGGGGAATTTAAAAACAAGTGAGATTTACAAAATTATACAGAAACAATTGGTAGATGAGGCATCCCAGCCAATTAGTCATTCATTGGCTCTCAGTCATTGCTCTTGGAGCCAATCATTGTCTTGAAAAGTCTCAACTTTTAAAACTGTAATCTCTGAAGAAAAATGTATTGGTTTTAAAACTGTAATTCACTTCTTGAAATATTGTCATTGCTCTATAACTTTCAAAATGAATTGAAATCCTAGATATATAAGGCAGTTTCACAATCAAGACTAATACGTGAATATGTTTTAGTTATTTTTCTTTAGTTCCATTAGTTGCATAGAATCCATTATTATGAGCAATTCATACTTACTGTTGTGTTAGGTATACACATGGAGTATCAGAAGAATGTTCTACCTGTCCTTTAAAACAATATATAATTTGCATGGGTGCTTTTATAAAGTTATCATTAAACTATAATGGAAGGAACACATTGAAAAAGTGCACAGAAAACATGGTCTATGAGACATGGAATCTTGGTCACAAGAGGACTTAAACAGCTGTCAAGAGGTGTCTATTTGTTTAAAAGAAATATCTATGTTTACTTGCTTTGAGAAGCCAGTCTGTTCCACAAATTATGTGTACCAATTGTGTTGCTGTGACCCAGGTACTTATATCAGCATTACACATTATTCAGCTGTATCTGCACAAGAAGAGATGTAGATGAAAGGATTGATATATAACCAACCTTCAGTGGATATCACAGAGATGAACTCTTAAGAGCTCAGAAGTAGAAGGGATTGTTTTTTTTTCTTAAATAAACCTTTACAATAGTTTTTTTTCCTTTTTAATAATTCACAGGGTCTCTGGCATTCTGCACATCAGTAGCTCTGATGTTTGCAATTGTATTTCATATTCAATGTTTTTTTTTTGCTTTTATTAGACTATTGGAATGGTATAAAATGTGTGATTGGTATATTTGACAGGAAAGACAAACCTTGTACATACGTGTTCTAGTCAGGCCTGGCCTTAGTCCCTTAGACACCCTGTGCGAAAAATGTTCATAGCACCCCTCCCTGATCCCATCCACTCATCCATGTATAGTGTTAGTGGGACTTTATTAAATAAATAATTATTAAAGAACCAAAAAAATATATATTCATTGCTCTTTCCCTGTTGTTACCTTGCAGGGAGTGGGGCATGCTGATCTTTGGCAGTTCAGCTGGGAATCTGGTCTGCGCCTCCACCACTGTGTGTAATATTTGTTATGGATGTATTGACTGTTTGTGATATATGTTTGTATTGACTGTGTGTGATATTTGTGATGGGTATTTAATTCATATAAATAAATGCGACCCACAGTCAGATGCACAGTTATCCGCATATACTGTCAAAAACAGTCACATGCACACAGTCCCAGGCACATAGTCACTCGCACACAGTCACAAGCAGACAGTTACGCACACACACAGGCAGTCACACATTCATTACAGGCATTCCTACACACAGTCATACACAGTTACAGTCAGTTACACACAGTCAGAGGCAGACAGTCACACACACACACACACACACACACACACACACACACACTTACAGGCAGACAGTAGCATGCACAGTTTCAGGCAGTCACACACACACACACACACACACTCGCAGAGCAGGTACCTTTTTCCATCATGTAGTACTGAATGAGGAGCACAACCAACTAAAATACAAAGCACATTATTGTACAGGTACAAACGTAACAGGTATCACCAATGTCCAAAATATAGATTAAAGTATAAATATAGTCATACATATACAGGGCCAGACTGGGGAAGAAATTGGCCTGGGCATTTTTTTATCACAGCTGCCCACTAAGAAGGGGGCGGGGCAGAGAGGGTGTGTTTTGTCATCACCTATGACAAACACACCCCCTCTCAAAGTGAGCATGTTGGTTCAATGCTCTTCCAGGGCAGACCATGCACAGAGCTCTGCTGAAGAGCTCTAGCATGAGAAAAAGGCCCTGTATTTGTTCTGCACAGTGCGAGCAAATTTAATAACATGCTTGCAATGTGTTTCCTTGCAACTTGTCTCTGGTGTCTCTATAAACGGATACCAGGAGACAAAAGGGCCAGGAAAGAGTATTGTGCATGTGTTTGGAGCCTACTTGTAGGATTGTGTGTGTGTAGAGTGAGCTTATTGTGGTGTGGTATTGTGTAATAAGGTCGGTTTTAGTCATGTTGTGTTTGTTATGTAATGCATATGTGGCTAGGGGCTGTAGAGAATGTGTGCATAGGGGATGTAGCAAGTAGCAAGTGTGTGCATACCTGCTATAGTGTGTGTGTGTGTTTGTTTGTGTGAATAGGTGATGTAGTGTTTGTAGGGGTTGTAGAGAGTGTGTGTTTAGGGGTGTAGTATGTGTTTGCTTACAAGGAATCTAGTGTGTGTATAGGGGGTCCAAAGTGTGTATGTTAGGAATGTAGTGTGTGTAGGTGGTGCAGTGTGTGTATAGTAGTCTAGAGTGTGCTTGAAGGACTCAAAATGTGTATAGGAGATCTAGTAAGTGTGTGTATATAACTGATTCAGATTGTATATAGGGATCTAGTGTGTGTATGTGTGTAGATGATTCAGAGTTGGGTGAAGGATCTAGTTTGTGTCTGGAATGTAATGTGTTTAGGGGTGCAGCCTGTGTCTGAGGGGTGCTGTAGTATATATATATATATATATATATATATATATATATATATAATATAACTATGTTTGGAAGTATTGTGTGTGTGGTGCAGCGTGTTGGGGGAGGTTATGTGTGTATGTGAAGGGTGCATTGGGTGTGTGTGAGGGGTGTAGTGTGTATGTGTGATGGATGCTGTGTGTAAGGTATGCTGTGTGTGATGAGGGTGATGTGGGTGATGAGAGTGCTGTGGGTGATGTGTGTGAGGGTGCTGTGGGTGACTATTAGAAGGGATTGTGTGTTGGGGGAGTAAAAAACAAAGAAACAAAACAAAAAAAAATAAGCAGGCATTATATCCCCCCAGGGCCGGCCTTAGGCAATTAGGCGCCCTGTGCAAAAAGTCTTCACGGCGCCCCCCCCCACCTCCCACCAAGTTGCCTGAATACAGTAACACACACAGGCACCGGGGACGTGTGTATCACGAGGCAAACAAGGCATCTGCCTTGGGCGCCACTTTGCAGGGGGCGGCAAAAAAAAGCATCCCTCCAAACCCCCAGGCAGATCCCTTGCTTGCCTCGCATCCTGGGGGGCTCAAGAGCTGACCGGCTGGCCACTTTTGAGCCCCCCCAAGGCTGGCAGCGGGCAGCGAAGGAGCATACTCACCTGAGCTCTTCCTGCTCAGCTTCCTCTGCGCCGCTTAATGAAGCCGGGAGCCAGAATATGACGTCAGTCCGGCTCCCGGCATCACTAAGCGCTGCTTACTCAGCCTGTGCGCCCCCTGCCTGCCTGCCCAGCAGCCACACTGGACTGCTGGTAAGAAATCCACTCCAGCTTTCCCAGGGAGGCTGGGTGGATTTAAAATAAATGTAAAAAATATTAGTTTGTGAGTGTTAGTGGAAATGTCTGTGTGTGTGTCTGTGAGTGTTTATTTTGAAGTGAATGTGTGTGTGTGTGTGTGTGTCTGTAAGTGTGTAATTGTGTGTGTCTGTAAGTGTGTAATTGTGTGTGTCTGTGAGTGAATGTGTGTGTTGGTCAGTGAGTGTATGTGTCAGTCAGTGAGTGTATGTGTCAGTCAGTGAGTGTGTATGTGTCAGTCAGTGAGTGTGTATGTGTCAGTCATGTGTCGTCAGTGAGTGTGTATGTGTCGTCAGTGAGTGTCAGTGATGTGTCGGTCAGTGAGTGTGTGTCAGTGAGTGTGTAGGTCAGTGAGTGTGTATGTGTCGGTCAGTGAGTGTGTGTCGGTCAGTGAGTGTGTGTCAGTCAGTGTGTATGTGTCGGTCAGTGGAGTCGTGCATCTTTCAGTGAGTGCTTGCGTCTGTCAGTGAGAGTGTGCATCTGTCAGTGTGTGTCCAAGTAATAGTTTTTTTTAAATAGACCCGGGTGGAGAATAATTAATCCTCCAGCCAGGTACCTCTTTTAGCTCCCCTGCACTCCGGCCATGAGTGAGCTGTGTCGGCCACAGGGCGCCCCCTGTTCCATGGCGCCCTGTGCGGTCGCACAGCTCGCACACCCCTAAGGCCGGCCCTGTATCCCCCCCCCCTTCGTACCTTTAGACTGAGGGGGGGGGGGACATGCACGGTGGTACCTGGGTGGGGGACAGGCACTCTCACACTATCCCTGGTGGTCCTAGTGTTGAGTGAACTCTAGCTAGAGTTCACTCTCGCAAGATCGGGGGCGTTGCCATGGCAACACTCTGGATCTCGCTAGAGGAGCTGCAAGATAGAACTCCGCCGGGTCCTCCTCTCCCTCCCCAGCCACATGTCTATGCATGATCTTTGATCTCCCCCAACGGCCCATCATGGAAAACAGCGGGGCCGACGCTCAAATAGTGCCGGCCCTGCATGGACCGGCAGGGGAGATCCTGTGACCTCCCCTGCCGGCCTCGGCCCCTGGCCGCTGCAGCCCACCGGGCATTTGCCCGGTTTGCCCGATGGCCAGTCCTGGCCTGTACATAAACAATCAATAATAAATATGAGATAGGAGTGGTGATGTTGGACTAGCCAACGTCAGAACCCCAAAGTAGGTTACAAGAGGTAGCACAGGGGCTTAACCCCACAACAAGTAAATAACTACCAACTGAAAGAATGGGATAGAAAAACTACTCACTCAAAAGTGAATGGGATTCAATCTCACTCTAAAAGATTACCTCCTAAAGTAAACGTAACAAAGAAAATGGTAATAACCTTTATTAAACTAAAAATAAGCAAAAAAATAATCAATAGGTATAGAACCTACCCTAAATAGAAACACCATAGAAACTGTGTTAGTGAAAATCACATAAGAGTGAAGAGTTAAAAACCTGGGAAAATGCTCCTTAGTCCCATAGAGAAATATATATATATAATGTATGTGCACATACATGTAAAGTCCACTAAAATAAATAATAGTAAGGCCTCTGAAGAGGACAAGGTTAGACTATAGGGACATACAATATGTGGACCAATATACAAGAGAAAAGGAGCATAAGTACAGACTGCTCCGTACAAAAAATGAAAGATAAAAAAAAAAAAAAAGTCGCGCTAGAATGGTAAAGTCCGTAAGTAATATATATAGCTGGGATCGTGGTGCCTAGCAGTAGTAGCAATGCCAGTATAGTACTGGAGTTAAAACTGTGGTCATTATAAATAGTGCCTCAAAGGAGTATATCGAGATAGCTCACTAGTGGAAGGTAAATTCACGAAGGAGCACAAACGGGTGTTAAACTATGTAGCCGACCCTGCTATACAGACTCTCTGGGAGGCTATATGTCTCGTTTGACAGTATAAACTATAGGGAATATCCAATAATGATATATCCCCTAATGTGAGACTTAAAGACACATAGGTATATAACAGCAGTACCTTAAACCATAAAAGCCCCCTCCGAAATTAGTAACTTGAGAGGAAAGAAGACAATATCCTAGAAAACCCTGGGCTTACTATCTAGCCCACAGGCAGGCCATAGATACTAAACTGCTGCTTCAAGGCAGCCTAGCAAGTCCCTATAAACTTATATAAGCGCATAGTCGGAAAAAATAAATAATGAAACGGGCATCCGTCATACCCAGGTAAAAATAAAAAAGAAATGCTTAGTTAAAGTAAATGCATCGGCAAAATGCTCGACGCGTGTTTCAGCGTTTTCATACACCTTTGTCAAGAGCTGGAAGTTAACTGAGCTAGGAGCTGATTATAAAGCAGTCTCCGCACCCCCCGTAGATCATCAGAAGCCAATCCGTGAATACTGATCATCAGTGAGTTAATACTAGGAATACTAGAATGGGGTAAGGATTTTTATGAAAGGTGTATATTGAATGTTGCCAAAAGAGTGGGCACTATTGGATTACCCACTAGTACACCTCAAAACCTGGAAATCCCTATACAGTACCAAGACATTAAATAAGTATTCAGCAAAACTCAGTCGAATACTCTAACTCCTCACGGACCTTATGACTGTTCCATTAATTTACTACCCGGCGCTATGCCACCTAAGCGAGCAGTCTATGCTCTGTCACCTCAGGAGAGTAGAGTAATGGAGGAATATATTAACCCCTTAAGGACTGGACTGTTTTTGCGATGTTGTACATTTGCGATCAGGAATATTTTTACACTTTTGTGGTGTTTGTGTTTGGCTGTAATTTTCCGCTTTCTCATTTACTGTTCCCATACAAATTATATATTGTTTTTTTCAGGACAAAAGGGGCTTTCTTTACATACCATTATTTATATAATCTCATGTATTTTAATTTAAAAAAAATAAAAAAATATGATGAAAAATTGAAAAAAATACATGTTTTTTGACTTTTACTTGAAAAATCTTTTACTCATCTACAAAAGCGAATGAAAAAAACTGCTAAATAGATTCAAAATTTTGTCCTGAGTTTAAAAATACCTAGTGTTTACGTGCTTTTTTGCTTTTTTTTGCATGTTATAGGGCTATAGGTACAAGTAGGATATTGCGGTTTCAAAACATACATTTTAAAATTTATCAATAGTGACATTGTAACACTATTATCTGTCATAAATCTCTGAATAACACCCCACATGTACATATTTTTTTTAAAGTAGACAACCCAGGGTATTCAATATGGGGTATGTCCAGTCTTTTTTAGTAGCCACTTAGTCGAAAACACTGGCCAAAGTAAGCATTCATATTTGTTTGTGTGTGAAAAAGTAAAAAAACTAAATTGAACGCTAATTTTGGCCAGTGTTTGTGACCAAGTGGTTACTAAAAAAGACTGGACATACCCCATTTGCAATACCTTGGGTTGTCTTCTTTTGCAAATGGTATGCCATCATGGGGTAATTCTCATTCCTGGGCTACCATACGCTCTCAAAGGCAACGTAACCAACCTGGCCATTTTCAATGTAAAAATATTTGACCCATATATTTGACCTTGTAACTTTCAAAAATGCTATAAAACCTGTACATGGGGGGTACTGTTTTACTCGGGAGACATCGCTGAACACAAATATTAGTGTTTAAAAACTGGAAAACGTATCACAACAATTATATCATCAGTAAAACTGCTGTTTGTGTGTGAAAAATGCAAAAAAAAGTAACTTTCACTGACAATATCATCGCTGTGATATGTTTTACTGTTGTGAATCACTAATATTTGTGTTCAGCGAAGTCTCCCGAGTAAAACAGTACCCCCCATGTACAGGTTTTAGGGTGTCGTAGAACGTTACAGGGTAAAATACAGTGCTAGCAAATTAAATTCTCTGGAATTTCGGCCTGGGTTGGCAGGCAGGTCCCTCAAATTGCAATCAATAAAATTACTGAATTATGTAAAAATATTACATAAATACGCACGTAGAATTTAAATATATATGCATATTTATATATTTGAAGTCTACGTGTATATTTATATAATTATTTATGTAATTTTGTATATGGACTTATGTATATTTCTTATTATTTTTATTTATTTTTATATACATAGATATATATACAAATTCATTCTAAGTGTATTTTGATATAAATATATATATATTAATTTTAAAATACAGTTAGAATAAAATTTCATATAGCTATATAATTTTTTTTAAATTTTTTATTATTATTTAAAAAAAATGTATTTAATTTAAATTACTTATTATTTATATTTTATAATAATATATATATATAATATATATAGTTATTATATATATTATATATATACGTGTGTAATTTAATTATAAGTGTATTTTTATATTAATATAAGTACATATTAATATAAAAATACACTTAGTATGACATTATATATATGATATATAGACATATATTATATAGATATAATATATGTCTATATATCATATATACACATATATAATTATTTTATTTTTTTTAATTAACACTAACTTTATTTTTTTTTTCTGATTTTACACAAGCAGGGAGACTGCCTGTCAGCACAGACAGTCCCCCTGCAGGCAGACACATGGACACCTATTGTGACCATGTGATCGCTGTGTTAAGCGATCACATGGCCACAGGGGTCCTAATCTGCCAGTGGGGAGACTGTCTGGGCTGCAGGCAGTCTCCCCACAACCGGAGGAACACTGATCGCCGCCGGGGGAACGACGGCGATCAGGTAAGTACCCCCAGACCGTTAGGACGGTTCAGGACCGTCATCGGTCGGCAAGGCAAAAATGCCGATGACGGTCCTGAACCGTCCTCGGTCCTTAAGGGGTTAAGGATTCATTGAATAAAGGCCACATACGAAAATCATCCTCGCCTGCTGGGGCATAATTCTTTTTTGTATCTTAAAAGGACGGTGAGTTGCGCCCATCGATTACAGGGCATTGAACAATATCACCATTAAGAATGCCTACCCCATTCCTCTTATTGCTGAATTATTTGATAGACTCCAAGGCGCTAAAGTATTTACTAAGCTTGATCTTAGAAGTTCTTACAATTTAGTGAGAATCAAGGAAAACCACGAGTGGAAAACTGCATTTAATACCAGAAGTGGACTCTATGAATATCTAGTGATGCCATTCGGGTTGTGCAATGCTCCAGCGGTTTTCCAAGATTTCATAAATTATGTACTCAGGGATTACATTTACGCGTTTGTCTTGGTCTATCTGGATGATATCCTTATTTATTCTCCTGACATTCAGACTCACCACGATCACGTTAGACAAGTACTGCAGACCTTGTTAAAGAATCAACTTTATTGTAAATTAGAAAAATGCATCTTTGATCAATCTGAAGTACAGTTTTTGGGATATAATATCTCTGCCTCGGGGTTTCAGATGGATCCTAAAAAGCTGGAATCGGTTCTACAATGGCCTTTACCCACTGGGTTGAAAGCCATTCAAAGGTTCATTGGTTTTGTCAATTATTACAGAAGGTTTATAAAGGAATTTTCTTCAGTAATAGCCCCCATCACCAATATGACACGCAAGGCGGTTAGCAGTACGATATGGTCTAAGGAGGCTATAAAAGCCTTTGAAACTCTCAAACAGCGGTTTGCCTCCGCTAACATATTGATACATCCTGACACCAGTAAACCTTTTATACTGGAATTTGATGCATCAGAGACATGGGTAGGGGCAGTTCTCTCCCAGAGGGAGAGCCAGGATACTCCATTGCATCCTTGTGGTTACTTCTCTAGAAAGTTGTCTCCTGCCGAGCACAATTATGACATTGTCAATAGGGAATTCTCGCTCTCAAGGAGTGGCGACATCTTTCAGAGGGTTCCAAGTACCCCTTTTGATGATGACTGATCACAAAAACCTGGCTTACATAGGAGATGCTAAACGATTGTCTGTTCCTTTCTCGCTTCAATTTTCTTATTACTTATAGACCTGGTTCTAAAAATGTCAAGGCCAACGCCTTATCCAGACAGTTTGAAACTGAGTCTATACATTCCCCCTGAATGTATCATTGCTGCCACTATCCTTTCATTGTCCTCTCCGCTGCTTGGCTCCATCATGGAGGCTTAGTCTCAGGCGCCCTGCGGTAAACCTCAGGACAAATTGTTCGTTCCATTGGGGAAAAGGGTTAATATCATGAAGGTGTTTCACGACAATGTGTCTGCTGATCACCCAGGTATTAATAAATTCACTTCTGCTATCATGAGGTCATTCTGGTGGGATTCCCTCAGGAAGGATGTTAAGGAGTATGTACAGGCTTGTTCTGTTTGTGCGGTTTCCAAAGTACCTCATAAACTCCCTTGTGGCTTGTTACAACCTCTTTCCGTTCCTGAGGTCCCATGGTCCCACTTGTCTATGGATTTCATTGTAGAACTTCCTAGTTCTAATGGTTATACCACTATTCTCATGGTTGTTGACTGTTTTTCTAAAATGGCTCACTTTATCCCTCTCAAGAAATTACCGTCATCTCAAGACCTGGTACTGATCTTTATACGTGAGATTGTCCGTCTGCATGGCATTCCTCACAATATTGTATCTGATAGAGGTTCTCAGTTTGTATCCCAGTTTCCCATTGAATTGTCTTTTTCATCCTCTTACCACCCCCAGACTAATGGTACAGCTGAGAGGGCTAACCAGTCTTTGGAGTTATACTTGCGTTGTTTCGTTAATAGCACTCAAGACAATTGGTCCAAATTATTACCATGGGCCGAGTTTGCTAGGAACAATGCTGACCATGACTCCTCTGGGCATAGTCCATTTTTTGTTAATAATGGCTGGCATCCTACTGTCCTACTGGCTGTTTTTTCTGATACGACTATTCCTGCTTTGGATGACCGTCCATCCGTGATACCTGGGTTAAAGTTCAATTTGCTCTGGGTACTGCTGCTGACCGTTTAAGGCATTTTGCTGATACACGTCGAGGTGCCAACCCTGTTTACCAAGTGGGTGAGAGGGTTTGGTTATCTTCTCGTAACATCAGGCTCAAAATCCCTAGCATGAAATTTGCTCCTAAGTTCCTTGGACATTTTTTCGTGTCCTTTGTAGGATCAATCCTGTTGCGTACTCTCTGGCCCTTCCAGGCTCCTTGAAAATTCCTAATACCTTTCATGTGTCCTTGCTCAAACCTCGTTTGCAATAAATATACTGTCTCAAGTGTCCCTCCTCCTCCCTTAGTTGTTTCGGGACAGGAAGAGTATGAGGTCTCCTCCATAATTGATTCCAGGTTTTCTTGGGGCACTTTATAGTACTTGGTGGATTGGAAAGGTTATGGACCAGCCGATCGTTCTTGGTTTCTGGCATCTGATATACATGCTGGCCGCAAGATTCGCTTTTTTCACGCCAAATTTCCTCTCAAGCTTGGTCCTGCCGGCCCGGTGGGCATTTTTCATGTGGGGGGTAATGTCACGTATTCATCCGCTTATAAAAATGTGGTTAATGGCATTTACTGTCCACACAGGTAAAGTTGTGCCGAGCAGCCACCAAATCCACAGAAGGGTTAATCCTGAGCAGCAATTATGCAAATGGGAACCTGGTAACTGCCTTTGGGGTCAAAGGCCAGGTTACAGCCTATCAGATCTAGAGGAGGGGTATTTAGGCCCAGTTCTCATCCTGCTCAGTGCCCTTTCGTGGTTTCCCTTGTGGTTTTCCGAGAGCGCGTTATTGATTCTGGTAATTCTGGTTATTTGACTTTGGCATTGTATTTGACTTCCCTGTTTTCTGGCATCCCTGACTCCTGGCTTTTCCTTATCGTTGTGTCTCTTTCTGTTTCCCTTGACCTCGGCTATTCCTGACTATTCTTTGGTACGTTAGTCTGGCCATTCTAAGGTCTGGTATACGTTACCTATCAGTCCTCTGTGTTACACAATTCTACGTGCTGGATCATTCTGTAATCCTGACAGTTACTTACTTTTGCCTGATGTCCTAGTAGACCATTGATGTCCAAGTAGACCATTTAACCCACTCAGAGCGCATGCACATGGGCTCTCTCTCAGTAAGTAGAGGGCAAGAGGGAATAAGGAGGGAAGGGAAATAAAAAAAAAACAATAACATAGGGTATAGGTAGATAGGGAGCACTTTAGTGAAGGAGGAAAGGAAGGCAAATGCCTCTCCTAGCAGGCTCTGCATGCAAGGGAGAATCTGATTGCATCTGATGATGTCAGACATAGTTTTTGCACAGAAATGAGATTAGAACTGAACTGAATTCAGGCCAGAACTGAATTCTAGGTTGCCAAAATCACTTGTGCTTGGGAGTGCTTTTTTATTTTTTTATTTTTTTTAGCAGAATACAGTTGTTTTAAAAAAAATAAAAAACTATTTTTTCAATTACAGAGACTCACTGTGACACATCAACATTATAAGATTTGTGCAAAAGCCACATTGCTGTATATACAACGTTGTATATATGATACAGAAAGGAAAAATATGTAGATAAAATGTGCATTATGCATTATACAATAGTGATTGGCTTGTTCCCAGTATGTCAAAGTTTTTCGTATTAATAGAAAAAGAAAACTGGCTCTGCGATACCGGAGGGGTTGGGTCCCCACTCTTTGTTCAGGTGAAACTGGGGTGGATGTTATGGGGATTGGGGTGGGTGGGTGGGTGGAAAAAAGAGGTTCACTGTCACATCCAATGTGTATAATAATTTATTCCTCATACTGTTCCCATAGCTCCCATACTTTGGTAAAAGTATCGGTGGTATTGTGGAATTGTGCCATTGCTCTTCATGCTGCTTGGTAGATCATATTTAATAATTTTTGATCATGCCTATTAAGGCTGTCGGTGGGTCTGGAAAGAAGGCACCCCTATGGGTCGAGCTCCATTCGTCTTTGGTCTACCACTCTTCTCTAGAATTACCCCACACGTGGGCATTGCCACCACATGTATATAGCTTACCTTATCCCCGCAGAGGTGCCAACAGGTATCAGTGGGACTTAGTTTCAAGTGACATTGCTAAACCAGTGTTGTATACCATCTAAATAATGTTTTGTAGAATGTTTTTTGGCATTGTTCTTGTAACAGTACACAACTTTAGCACCATATACACTTCTAAGCACAAGTGGTCATGGTGGTTGGAGACACCCTTTAATCATGCACAGAACTGGGATAAAACACTACACTGAACATACCAATATTGCAGTCTGTATATGACTGTGTATATTATTGTGTATATGTGACTGTGTGTGTTGTTGTGTGTCTTAGTATGTATTTAATTGTGTTAGTCTTTGTATGCATGTGACTGCATGTCTATATATGTGCAGAACTAATTAAATAACTAATTGTATAAGTGATGGTAAAATAGTAAACAGGGAGGGTAGGCACACACTTGGCTGGGCCTAGAAAATATATCAGCTTTTAAGATAATCAGCTCTAAAAAATATTATTATTATTATTATTATTTTTAAAACTATATTCACCTCTAAGTTAATCATAGAAAACAATAAAAATCTACAGGCACTCACGGAATTAAAGCCAGAGGAAGATTTATTGGATAAAAAAAGATTCAGCAACATTTCGACCTACCAAGAGGTCTTTATCAAGCTTGACAAAGACCTCTTATTAGGTCGAAACGTTGCTGCATCTTATTTTTAATCTTTTTTTTTTATCCAATAAATCTGCCTGTGGCTTTAATTCCATGAGTGCAATAATTGAAGCTATACATGTTGTATTTCTTTTAGTAGAATGTCATGTAGTCAATACTTTAGTTAAAGCTTAACAGATGGGGCCCATACAGCGTGACAAAGAGAAATGTTGTTTTTTGGAGTATTAGAGAAAGTCATGACCACAATGGGTAGTTTATGACAGTCAATTGATATCAATGACATCAAGAAGTTCTGTGAGGATGAATTGGCCAAATTATCTCCAAGCCAATGTGAAAAGTTGAACAGAAATAGGATGAGTTTGGGTGGCAATTATAGACCTGCAAGCTTAACTTCTGTGTCTGGGAAAGTATTTGAAAGCTTATTTAGGGACAATATGCACGAATTCATTGAGAAGAACATTGTTGTCAACAAAAATCAGCATGGTTTTATGAAACATAGGTCATGTCAATCTAACCTGATTGCATTCTGTGAAGAAGAAAGTAAAAGTATTCTTTTACTTTCTTCTTCATCAGGGTGTTGCAATGGATGTGATATACTTGGATTTTACCAAGGCGTTTAATATGGTTCCACACAACAGGTTAGTGTTCAAATTTAAAGAAATCAGTCTAAATGAAAATTCTTGTTCTTGGGTAGAACATTGGCTTCAAAATAGAGTACAGAGAGTTGTCATTAATGGTATATTTCCAAGCTGGACAATAGTGATAAGTAGTGTCCCTCAGGACAAAACCCCCACCTTTTCTGGGACCACTTCTATTTAACATATTTATAAATTATCTTTAAATAAGAATTGAAAGTAAGTGTTTGCAGATGACACAAAACTCTGTAAAGTAATACAATGTGAGCAAGATATTACTTTGCTGCAGAAGGATTTAGATAGACTGGGGGACTGGCAGATTGCAGATACAATTTAATGTAGAAAAACGCAACGTTATGCACCTCAGGGTAAAGAATGCGCAAGCAACTTATACCCTAAATGGTCATGAGTTAGGGATACCCACACATGAGAAGGATTTGGGAATTGTTATAGACAACAAACTAGGCAACAATGTGCAATATAAAGGCCAGTAAGGTATGTATAAAAAGGGCCATTAATTATCTGACTTACACGTACTGGCTATTGGAGTGTTACTAAAAAAACCTCCAGTTATTTAAATATACATAGGGATTTGGGATAGTGCGCAAGTTACTTTTTTCTTTCCAGGAGTAGTGGGAGTCTCAGTGCCAGACTTATTTTTGTGTATTTGTATTTGCTTTTGTATGACACAGCCATATTACAGTGCTGCCGCCCACATCATGTGTTCCCTATTAAGTATGTAGGGGTTTAGAAAAACACCCCTCTCTCTCATTTGAAGCTGAAGGAAGCAAGGTGAATTATTAGTGTAGGACACACCTAAGTTTGCCTTCACGTGGCAGGCGGGCTTACACCTAATGGTCATTGGAGTGTTACTAAAAAAAACTCTAGTTATTTAAATATGCATAGGGATTTGGGATAGTGTGCAAGTAATTGTTTTCTTTGAGAATAAATTGTGCCTCTTTATAAATCACTGGTAAGATCATCCTGAATATGCTCTGGAATTTTGGACACTGGCTCTAAAGAAGGATATTATGGCACTAGAAAGTTCTGAGACAGGTTATAACATTAATAAAAATAAAATTTTAGTTATAAAGAAAGGTTAACAAATGTAAATATCTTTAGTGTAGAAAAGCAGAGGGGATATGATAGTATTATACACATATGTTCGGGGCCAATACAAATGATTGTCTAGAAATCTATTCACAATCAGGACTATACATAGGACATGAGGTCACATTTAGACTGGAAGAAAGGAGCTTTAGTCTAAGGCAAAGGAATGTTTTTTTTCACAGTAAGAACAATAAGGATATGGACTTCTCTGCCTGTAGAAGTGGTTTTATCAGAGTCTGTACAGTTGTTTAAACAGCAACTGGATGCATACTTGCAAAAACATAAAATTCAGTTATATAATTTTTAAATTGTGGGGTAACAGCTTCTTGATTCAAGAATACATCTGACTGCCATTCTGGGGTCAAAAAGGATTTTTTTCCTAGTTGGTTGTAAAATTGTCCGTGCTTCAAACTGGGGGTTTTAGCCTACTTTGGGATCAACAGCAAAAAACAGATATGAGAAACTTAATTCACCCATGTCTATTTTCAGCCTATGTAACTATAACTGCTGATGGGGAAGGAGCGAAAAGTTACTAAATTTGAAAGTGTTAGATCAGTGTCTTTTGTAAAGAAATGAAAAGTAGGATTAATTTATTTATATGTATTTATTGCTATCTCTTGATGCTATTCTCAATTAATTTTACTTCTACAGTGACGGGTGTTTTCCCTATGATGTGGCAATGGTGGCTGGAAATAGGTAATGCTGGCATTAACAGGAAGTATCTCTGATTAAACGAAACTCGCCATTTGTTATTTATTTGAGTATACTAGTCAAAAAAATAATAAGTATTAAGGCTAGAGCCAGATAAGCGTCACCCACGGCTCTAGGAAGGAAGAAATATTGGCGCCTTAGGCTCTGTTTCTGTGAGTGGTGTTGACTGAGTGTTGTGTGAGAGTGTGTGCTCATTGAGTCACTGAGTTTGGAGGAGGGTGAGAACTATGAGAAGGTACTGCGTGTCTCTGCATGTGCCGGCTAACTGTTTTGTGTTTTTGTAGGGAAGTCTGGGTGTGTTGTGGTGTGTGTCTCCCCTTCGTTTGTGCTTATGTTTCCTAATGGCCCAGTGATGTGTGAGCAGAATCTCTGGTAGTCCAGTGGTGGATGAACTGGATCCCTGTAGGAGCTCCATGGTTTGAAACAAGTGGTTCTGTCACCCTCTCTTCCAAAATGAGTATTTCATAAAGACAGCATCTTTATAAAATACTCATATTGACTGTGTTGAAATTTCAACTTCAAACACAGTCAAGAGATATACTGAGACAAAGTATTTACTTTGTCACAGTATTTTTCCTACTTTTGACAAATGGCAAAGCTACCTTTTGTCAAGCTTGTCATTTACACCTGCTGTCACTAATGATGGCTGTATGGAAAAAAGCTCTTTTTATGGAGGAACCCACGGTCTCCTCCATATACTTAAATTCTGTACTCCATATACTTCATGTACTTAAATGACGAGACTACATCGCTGAAGTCGGCTCTTGGCAACGCCAGCGCCAAGAGCTGAAGAGGATCGAATGGAAAAGAATGGCGGTGCCCACAAGGGACAGGTTCAGGTGAGTAAAATCTACTTTTTCTTGTCCCCATGGTCACACCATCAATTATGCAAAGGCCTAAACGGTGTCAGAGCCGCTTTAACCACACTCTTAGTATTTTATGAAATATATTTATTTTATTATTTGTTTTCTATAAAACTATGTTTTTATTCTACTTCGACTTTCTGATTTTATCCCTTCAGATTTTATCTGAAGGATTCACATTTTATTTCATGGGTGGGGAATAAACCACATGCTGTTTTGGGAGCAAAACTCTTTTTGCTCTCTTTTCGTATGTATACCTCCTTCTATTCTATTTTTTTATTGCATTAATACATAAAGCACTATTTCTGTTTTATTTCTAATCCATATACCGGTGAATTTCCTCTTCTACAACACTGTGCACTGAAGGAGAACACTCTCAACGCTTACTATCAAAAGCTACTTACTGGCTTTGGAACATTTTTTTAACAAAGGACCAAGACCATCAGCATATCCATAGGCAGGGATTGTACTATCCAAGCACACATATCTGGAGCTGATTATAAGAGTCAGAAGATTGTGTTATTTCTCTGCAAATGGATATACTAAACTATATTTTGTTCCTTTGTTATCTTATCTTTCATATTGTTTCACCCCTACTTGGATTTGGGGATACTCTAAAGACGCTGCTTCCATGCTCCCCTTTCCCAGACAGTATCTACTTATGGCCAGAAAGAAGAGACTCTGGTTTGGGGAGTTGAAGCTGCCATACTTGTATATAACAAGAGCATGAAATCTCATTCTTTTATCTTTTTGAAACGAGAACCTCTAGTTTATTCAGATGTTAAATAGTGGAAATTATAGAGTTTTACTTTCTTGTGGTTGTGCACATCTACAATGGAGGGTGATACATTATGCCCTTATTTGGTAGTAATTTCTGCATTATGTTTTTATAAAAAATTATGACCTAAAGAAACACTCAAAGCAAAATAATCATTACAGCCTGTTGTATGTCGGGATAAGACTTAAGATTTGGGGGGGCCCTGCTTGATTCAGGACTGGTAGGAGATATTGATAATATTTTAGTTCAATTTTGGAGCGCTCTGATAATCTAGATTTAATGAAACTTAGAGTTGGTATGAATTGTTATATACCGCTCGTAATACACTTAATGTGTTGTACCTCCAACACACAAAACAAAAATCAAAAGGAAACAAATGTAAATAAGAGTGGAGCAGTATACTGAAAATGGCGGCTTAGGTGAAAAACCCAGGACCAAGTATAAATTGTGAAAAATTAAAAAATGTTGTAGTAATACTCAATGATCAGTAGATGGCCCCAAGATGACAGATTAAATACCCTGTATGAAGATGGCAGCGACAGCATCACATCCTAAGGAAGACGGGCAGACCAGAGAACGCGTTGACGTCATTGAAGGGGTGCAGACTACAGGAGCTCAGTAAGAATCACGCTCATATTGTTCGTGCTGCACTGAAACCGGGTCACTGCATTTCAGACGTTACAGCTATCTAGAGCCAGCGTCTCCAGCTCCAACATCTGATATATTTTGACAAAGCTTGGCAATGAGTAATGGCGTATGCCGAGCCTACTCACCACTTTCTCTTGTAAGAGACAGTTTACTTTTTAATATCACTTTGTTTTTAATAAATCTATTTGCACTTTGTAAATATAATTGAGAAATATAATTTCCTTAACCGCGTAAGGACCAAACTTCTGGAATAAAATGGAATCATGACATTTCACACATAATGTGTCTTTAAGGGGTTAACCTAATTATCTGGGTAACTTTTATGGGAATCTTGGTATATTAATATATGATGTTAAAGCATTATTCATTTGAAGCAATCTGCACTATTATGTGTATTTATGCATTTTCTCCATATGTGCTGTGAGAGGTGTCGTCTTGGGGCCATCTACTGATCATTGAGTATTACTACAACATTTTTAATTTTTAACAATTTATACCTGGTCCTTGGTTTATCACCTAGACGGCCATTTTCACTATACTGCTCCACTCTTAATTACATTCTTTTCCAGGTAGGAGATATGCCAATCTTACATACAACACTGCCAACAGGTATGTATCGCAGTGCCATAAAGGAAGTGTTCAAGAGGATAAGTCAAAAGTTTTTGTTTGTTTTTTTACCTGCGGTGTATTAGAATTATACCTTCTAATTCTTTAATTTCATGGGCTGCAAGAGAAACCAATTTGACTTATGCTCCTGCATATCTAACATCTCTTGTATTGCAGGCTGTGGATTAATCCTTATTGTTGGATCAGGCCAGACTCTTGCTCATTTCACAATCCGGTCATCAAGCAAACATCCCTTGATGCGTTATGATAACTATGCATAGATTCTCCATCTCAGTACACAGTAAGTGATCAAAGGTAATCAGATCTAGTTCTTAGATTAAAGGAACACTATAGTCACCTAAATTACTTAAGCTAAATAAAGCAGTTTTAGTGTATAGATCATTCCCCTGCAATTTCACAGCTCAATTCACTGTCATTTAGGAGTTAAATCACTTTGTATCTGTTTATGCAGCCCTAGCCACACCTCCCCTGGTTATGACTGACAGAGCCTGCATGAAAAAAAACAAAAACTGGTTTCACTTTCAAACAGATGTAATTTACCTTAAATAATTGTATCTCAATCTCTAAATTGAACTTTAATCACATACAGGAGGCTCTTGCAGGGTCTAGCAAGCTATTAACATAGCAGGAGATAAGAAAATCTTAATTAAACAGAACTTGCAATAAAGAAAGCCTAAATAGGGCTCTCTTTACAGGAAGTGTTTATGGAAGGCTGTGCAAGTCACATGCAGGGAGGTGTGACTAGGGTTCATAAACAAAGGGATTTAACTCCTAAATGGCAGAGGATTGAGCAGTGAGACTGCAGGGGCATGTTCTATACACCAAAACTGCTTCATTAAGCTAAAGTTGTTCAGGTGACTATAGTGTCCCTTTAATGTTTCAGGCAACCACAAGGTTTGGTGCACTGTATTGGTTAGGTCTCTATTAGAGTTCAAGGGAAACAAATATGTAGCTGGCAACTCCAAAAAAACATTTGTTTTGTTAGAATGAGATTGCCTTAAGGTTAAGACACCTTGAAAAGTTATCTGAGTTTGAAATGTGTTGATTTTTAGATTTTCACAAACCTAAATCTTTTGATCGTCATATAGCTATAGGAAATGTGGAGATCAATGAAAGTATATGGATTAGTGTTGGGTCTAGCTGCAAGCTTCTTCATTATATAAGCAATGTATAGTCTTAAAGGGACACTATAGTCACCATAGTCATACAGCTTAATGTAGGGGTTCTGGTGTCTATAGCCTGTCCCCAAAGGCTTTTTAATGTAAATGCTGCCTTTTCAGATAAAAGGCAGCATTTACATTATTGCCTAGTGACACTCAGATGGCCAATAGAGGTGCTTTCTGGGTCACTGCTGCACAATGTGCAGCATTGACATTCAAGGTCTCCACACACGGCATGGAGTCGCTGAATGTTCCTCATAGAAATGTATTGATTTGATGCATCTCTATAAGGAGATGCTGATTGGCGCAGCACAGTGTTTTGCTGCACATGTGCAATATCCTGTCATAGGAAAGCATTGGATTGACTGAGATAATCAAGTTTGATGATTTCAGTCAAGGAGGCAGAATGTGGGTGGGGCCAGCCGTCAGACGGAAGAAAGTGAAGTAATCTCACCTTTCACTTAGCTGTCAGGGACCTAAATTGTGTTTTTAGGACTATAGTGACAACAATACATGTTTTTATTCCTGTCACTATAGTGTTCCTTAAAGACTTCAAGGTTTATTTGACCTATAAAAGAGGTTGACATTGTTTTCTCCTGTTTTGACCTTGCATGTTATCTGCCCTCACTTGTCACTTTTTAAACAGATCAGTCAGGATGAGGAGAGACTCTGTGCCAGAATATAAAGGACATACCTTATTGGGGCTACAAAAAGTTCATAAGGGCAACACTTTCTAAGACAACAGGACCAGAAGTCAGAATGGAGAGAATTGGACAGATGCTCAGAAACAGAATATTCAGTGATGATTGAAACAAAAGGCTCAGGAAAGGGGATCTTAAGAATGCAGAACCACTCCACAAACCATCACAAAAGGAAGTGAGACTCCTTTCAACACTCCTCACTCAAACTTCCTCCTTATTTGTAAACAAACATTTCATTGCACTAAAGAAGTGTGTAACTTGTCCCTTGAAAAAGGCATTGGTTAATGCCAAACAGTGGCGGTAGGATTGTTGACTGCTCCCTGGTAAGCTTCAGTTTTAATTGTATAGTTGGCTGTATTATTTTGTGCAAGTTTTTTTTTACACTTCTTGTCAAGGCAGCCATCAGAAATCTTGGGGCCCTAACACAGCTCAAGATCTGGGTCCCTGAGAGCACATCCACAAGGATGCTGTGTCTGTAAAGTGAATATAGGGTGTGTTTGTGTATTGTATGCAGTGTATGTAAAGTGGACACAGTGTGTGTTTGTGCATGTTTGACACACAGATACAAACACTCATACACATTGACCTAGAATACATGCACGGACACACAAACATACATACAAACACACGTAGCTCATTTTTCAGCCACCCTCCTGTTTCTTACCTTTTTGGTGCAGGAGGGTGGCTGGGGCTGATGGGAGTCAGCTGGCTCCATTCTGCCTTTCCTCCCTATCGCAGGCAGTAAGCTGGGAGAAAGTGACAGGCTGTAAAAATGGCAGCAGTACTTGCGGTTGCCATTTTTAGAGGGGCCTGGTCGTGCTACTACACGACCGCAGCACAGCACTTAGGGCCACCTGATGGGCGTATACCTTCACGGGTTCCCTGAAGGTATATGCCCATTGGGTGGCCCTAAGTGCATGGGCCACCTGATGGGCCCATCAGCGTGCAGGTTCCGGTGGCAGTTCCGCTGCTACAAATGGGGAATGTTGGGCCCGGGACAACTATCATGGTTGTCACCCCAATTGCGGCCCTGCTTGTTAGTGTGTGAAGTTTTATATTGCAATCTAAAATAAAAGTGAATTTATAGGTACTGCATGTTGGTTTGTATCCTTATGATATTGCATTTTACTGATCAAAATTGAAACAACATAACTGCGAGAATTGCTACATATATGAAAGCAATGCCTTCATTGTAAAGCAGGGTTTGCATCAGGGCTCGAGTCCTGTAGGAACGGCATTCCTCCACAGCAGGAACGCCGTTCCCGTTACTAGTCCTGCAGGACCCAGGGCTGGCACAAGTGGCTGCCAGAGTGGGGGGGGGGGAGCACAAATCCGAATCTCCTGCCTCTGGCTGGGGACTCAGATTTTTAAACTCACCTCTCTCCCTGCAGCTAGTGGAGTCGGGACTGCTAGGGAGTCTGGGAGAAGAGCAGAGGAAGTCACACCCCCTTCTCCTGACATCATCAGGAGAGGCCAACCGACTCCGCTGACTGCGGGCTGCAGTCTCCAGATCCTGTCCCACCCCTCCTGGGCCAAGGTAAGCCTCAGGGAAGGGGAATGCAGTTTAGGTTTTTTTTTTATCCCTTTACTCAGGCCCTGTCCCGTTCCTCAGCCCCGTCTCATGGATCTGGGGTAAGTTACCACACTTTTTTACCCAGGACTTGACCCCTGGTTTTCAGAACCTTCTACTGGTTCATGGTGTTCTATGAAGGATCTGGAACAGGCTGTTGATGCTTGCTTTCTGAATTAAATTGGAAATGTAACTTTAACAACACGCCTTCCAAAGAACACTGTGATAAAGTGTTTTATAAGAAGTTGGGCCTTGGAGTGAAGCTTTATCTCCTGATTTGGGACCTGAAACTGACACAATTTTCAATGGAGTCTCTTTGGTTGGAAAAGGCATATCTAATCAATCAGGCCTCACGCACCTGTCCATAATAAATTGCATTCCTCAGTGTAATGGTGACACTGTCTGAATCTGGAAAGTGTTTAATGAAGGGATTGGAAAGACTTTGAATATACATTTTATTACAACTGAAGAATGGGTCACAAACTCGGTGTGCCTCCAGTTAATACTATATCCATAATATCCCATCAAAATAATAAATAAGAGCGAAAATTAGACTATTTACTGCAATTATACTTTTGCTTAACCCCTTAAGGACCAAACTTCTGGAATAAAAGGGAATCATGACATGTCACACATGTCATGTGTCCTTAAGGGGTTAAAAAAAGTAAATAAATAAAAAATTCACTCAAATGATAAGACAATAACCACATGATCAGGTGTGCTTATTCTTTAATCTCCAAGAAACAAAGAGAAATTAAATTCACATCTTACATTGTAATGCCGGATAATAAATCTTGACATTATCATTGGCCAATCTTGTCTGTTGGCCAATTGATATACACTACTGATAACATCCCATCATTTTATATACGTTTATCAAACGGATGCAATTCATAGCCTTTTTTTGCTGACAAAATATACATCTATAAATAGATATCTGTATACACATTTAATTAAATTTAAAACCATATACATAAATGTCTGGATGTATAACTGCACACAAATATTTTGCATATGGAATTACATATACATTTTACATGTATATAATCTCACACAGTGCAAAAGTATTGCCATTCTCATATATTTTAAAACAATACTAAGTATTATACATACACACAGTTATATATAGGGAAACACACTGTAGGTACTACAGCTTGGAAGTTAGATATAGCATCAAAATGGCAGAAGTAAAATCCTGAGATGGATTTCATAGCGCTTGTTCACATTATAAGGATTTGTTTACGGGACAGGAATGGGGTCTGAGCATCACGCATAGCCTTTGCGAAATCTTGCAATGGCCATTCTGTTGATGGAGGAGTAACAAGCTTCCCCCGACGAATTAAATCGGAGAGGTCTCTTATCATTTTTGTAACTTCCTCTCGGTCTACAAGACACAAGGTATATTTGTAAATTGAAAAACAGGCAATTTAAGTTATGATCAAATAAAACAGACTGATTTACAATTACGAAAAGGCAAAAGTGGCGGCGAGCAAGAGTGCAAAAATAGGAATGATTATTAAAACAAAAACAAAAAAAAAGTGGTGTTACATATACTCACTGTGAGCTCTATCTCTCTTCCACTGAGTCACCCAGAATCCACACAACTTCACATTCTTAAATATGAGTGCACTCTGAAACAAACCAAAAATTTAAGAATAAATATGAAAAAACAACAACATTTAAAACCAGGATGTGTGAAAGAACTTACTTTGATAACTTTGATCAGGAATAGGGATTTCTGGTTTTTTTTTTTTTTATATTTTGGCTAATATGAGAAGGGAAATTCAAGGAGGGAGAAAAAAAAAAAAGGGAAATCAAAAAGGAATATTCTAGAGGCGAAACACTTCAAGGGCTGGCTTGCAAAAAAGGATTCCAGATACATAATGTGGCAAACTGCTTGGTAATAAATTATGATAATTAAAGACAATACTAGTCATGTCTTTAAAATAAGATTCCATCTTTTTAGTGAGTTATTGTACTCCTAGTGTAAAAACATTTAAAAAAAATAAAACAATATTCTAGTCAGGGTTTTTGCTAGACTTTTGGCTAATAGACTAAAAAAGTGCATGTGCCCTCCCTGGATCATCCTGGGTTGGAATGAGCTAGGATTTTCAGGTTGGATTGCAAGGTTAAACATTCCCAGAGCACTTAATCTGAACCATGTTGCATTCTCGGGAAGGTCACAGTTCCTCCTCCTTTCAAAACCTGTGATGGCAAGTGTTAAAATGGAGACACACAAGACTAATCTCGTCCTGGGGGAGTTTCCATAGAGATCATAAAAAGGGTTTGACAAATTCCACTAATAGAAAGAAGAAACAGTTTCACAAAAGCACATTATATGCTAGAAAGCAAGTGCCCAGGGACAGATTTTGGTCGCTTTGCTACTAGGGGGCTTCCTGGGACAGTTCTGCACAGCACTGACATTCAGTGATTCCACCCTCTGCATAGAGATGCATAAATTCAATGCATCTCAATGAGGAGGTGCTGATTGGCCAGGGTGGTGTTTGGCTCTGCCTGCAGCCTGCCTCCTCAGACTTGACAATTTTAGATTATTACTTCTGATGAGGTCAGCCAAGGAGGCAGATCAGGGGTTGAAGCAGCACCAGCAGACTGGAATAAAGGTCAGATGTCACTATAATGTCAGGAATATATAGGGATCAAACACACAGAGTGTAGTAGAATAGTAATGTGTACCAGACCTTAGAGTGGCCGGGCTAACGTCACAAGTACAGAGAGTAATAAGGAACAAGCAGAGGTCAGGGGAGCCAGAAGTCAGGAACAGCGAGAGTACAAAGCAGAGTCAAAGGAGTACAAAATGTAGAATAATCAAACGTAGCCAAAGTTAAAACCAAGAAATATATACTATAAATAATGCGTTTTGTTTTCTTTTTAAATTCTTCATTTGTAATCAGATCTCCAGCATGAGAGAAGAAGAAGAAAAAGCATATAATATATATATATATGACATAACATATATAACAATCGTCACTATGGTCAAACATTAGTACATATTAGTGAATCTCGTTTTGGCTCGGCTAGGGAAATGAGGGTTTTTAATTTTTGAGTGTCTAGTGTGCTATACGGGTGTTTCCCTTCTGAGTCTGGTCGTGTGGGGCCTAGCTATGTTATCTAGATGGTTCAAATGTCATCGCTTGCGCTGTATTGATTGTGGGTCCAGGGCACAATAGGGAGCTACATGGACCAGCAAGTACTAATGGGGAAAGCGAGTAGGTAACGGGTCTAGGGTGCATACTCCATGTGGGATTTCACCGAAAGGATTTAGTGGCCTTCGCGTGGTGAACTAATAGCCTATTGTTCCAGGGTGGCTCACCATGTGTTATCGATGGGCTGCAGGGTAACAGGCCTTATATTAACTAGAAATGCACCTCCTGCCTGTTTCATGGTTTGGTGCACTTCTGGTGCGATTTTGGAAGTGGGAAGGAAAGAGTGCCTGGGCTGGGCCACATCTGTTCATCGCTGTGGTCGGTTCCGAAGGGCCCAGTACCTGTAATGAGTCCCATGGCAAGTTGAATGTGCTCAGCAGCGCAGTTGCTCCCTGCAGACCTGAGACGGTGTGCACTGTGTCATCTTGTAGGACATGAAGAGCCTAAGGCAAGCGCCAGCGATATCCAACCTTGTGTTGCTGGAGCACTGTCGTGAACGACCGGAGGGACCTCCGCCATTGTAGAGTGTCCCCTGACAGGTCAGAGAAGGAGAACCGCATGTTCTCAAATTCGTAGGTGTTGGACCCTTTAAGTGCCACCAGCACTGCAGTCTTCTCCGCAGAGCCACGGAACCTCACCACCAGGTCCCTGGGGGCTGACTCCGGTGCCCTCTGTGGCTTTTGGACCCTAAAGATAGCGTCCGGGGTAATGATCTTGGCTTATTTAGATGCCAGCAGTTTTTCCACAAATCTCTGCAAGAGGTGTGGGAGTCGGTCATGGGGATGTCCTCTGGTCCTCAAACTGTCAATTTATATATCAGAGGCAAGGAACCCATCGATCGTGCACTTAATCGTACAACATTAAACCAGCCTCTGAATCTGAACTGAAAGCCAATGAACTGGTTTTACACACAATTAAAAAAATACGCCAAAAAACCCAACACATAACTTACCACAGGTATAGTCACTGGTTGTTTAGCCATCCCACCATATGTCACCATAGTGCCACCATAGCTAGAGGACAATAACACATAATAAGCAAGAGCTCAATTGCCATTATTACAATTTTACCATTGCAACAAAGTTATAAATATATCCAGTAAACAGGGAGTCAAAAACAAAACTGCAATATGTGCTAATTCGTAATAATTCACTTTATTTTGCAATTCATTTTCAATTCACTGCAATTGGGTACTTCGTTCATAAACCTCTACAATTTAGGCACACTGCATTGAAAGCACTGTTCAAAGCTCATTGCAAAAAATAAAATAAAAATGTGAATTTGGTAACTATTTTTATTTTGGCTGAGAATTCAAATACACGGAATGAAATTGTGTACTTCAAATTGTATAGCCAAGAACTGGCAAGAAGATACAAATTAGGCCCTTGGTACCAAGCTACTGGATTGCATTCTGGTTTAAAAACTCTTGAAATTGTATTAAGACTACAAAACTGGATTCATTTCTTGCATCCTGTGCCAGACATTTATAAAGCAGTGCCATTCTAAAAGTGCTCTCACTGCATGTTATATGCATCCTAAGCTTCCCCCACCAGTTATCCTTCTACAATGTTTAGGGAACAGGTCCCATAGTATGTATTATTTAACATTAGGGAAAGGTACTTTATTGACACTAAGTCCTCCATGTTATGGAGCACTCAGTTGATTAACTGATGGCACATTCAGGAATGTACTAAAATAAATAACCTTTACCAGAGCACAATTATTTCATAATTCAGTAATCAGTCTTTGAATCACTACCTAAAAATACTTACTCCAAATGGCGCAACATCTCAGTTGTGCTTTTCCCACCAACACAGTTTAAAGCTAGCTTTGGACGGGGACATTTCTGCAAACAAGTGGAGATTTTAGAAAGAAAAAAAAAAAACAAAAAAAAAAACACTTTTCAGGGAGTATTTGTACAAGGGTATAAATACTTGGTAAAAATGAGGATTTTTTTTTTTTTTTAAATACCTTGAACAACTCTTTCATCTCTGGCTTGCGAAGGACATCTTCTGTGATGACATGATCTGCTCCTAGGTCATGGAGCCTCTGTACCAGACTACTGAGATCCGACCTGCAGACAGATAGATGTATCACAGCAGTCCTGTTACAAGTGCTTCCATACAACTTGATAAATATTTCTACAGTCACAGCTTCAGTCTGCAACATTTATTTTCCCACAATACTATCCATGATGTCAAACATCATTTGCTGTATTATACTATCAAACAGATTGGCACTTTTATGGGATCCCAGTTATTATTCCTGTTCCTATATGAGGTTATCAACAGGATTCATTATCCTTTTTTTTTTTTTTTTAATTTTAAAATTACCAGAAAAAAATTATTCAGGTGAACCAAACTTGTAAAAGTTCACCATTAACTAGGTGCAACCATTTTCTTTCTGAAGGTCTTGCATGATTATGTTCACCAATTTTCGGGATTCAACAGGTAATGCATATATTATCACATAGCATGCTGTGTTACAAACTTGTAATGCTCACATAAACCAAATGACTATTTATACACCTACCGATCTCGTACAACATTAATGGTAGTAATACCAAGTGATGCTGCAATTTGTATAACAACTTGGCCCACACTGCTGTTGCTGGCATTTTGTATTATAGAGTCACCTATGGGAAACAAAAATGTATGGGTTAATTTCAAAGGACCCTTCCAACAAGTACCCCATCAAGTAACTATATTCTGAATTAAGAACATCAAACCGTGAACAGACCTAATTTAGCCCTAAACTGAAGAGATATTCATACTGAGGGATTGGGGAGGAAAATGAATTAAAGGCCTACAACTTCTGCATAGATTTGTTTGTCTGGTAGATTGCATTCCTCCAATAATCGATGGATCTGGTGTAGAGTTCTAAACAGGAAGGCATGAAACTGCCCACCAATGTCTTTCTCATGATGTTAAGATAATTCTTAAAGTGGCACTGTCACAGTCTTGAAACTTTGCAGAATTTGCAAGGTCCCCAATGGGGACATCACCACTGGTTTCTCGTTGGCAGGTAAAGGTGAGATTACATTGTACAGCGCTGCGGAACTTGTTGGCGCTATGTAAATAAATTATTACATATGCCTGTCCCTCGCGGGTGCCATCTTTCTCGCACTGCTCCATTTCAACAACTGGTGCTTCAGCGCCAGGAGCCTAAATCACTGCTTTACTCTCGTGTCTTGTAAAATGTATAGTTGTATTTTTGTGTGTGCACACCTTTCCTTAATCTGTATTCCAGAAGCAAGCTGCTGAAGCGGGCAGAATACACTATTGTACAAAGAGTGATATCTATAGGGGCAGACAGGGGATGTATTATTTACTGTGCCTATTATCTGTGTTACTTGACCAAAGCTTACAAAGAAGCTGAATTTCCCTCTTATTTCTACTTTTGTTATACATGCAAGGATTTGCATATGTTTAACTCATTGGGTGCATTTTAATAAATTTAATTAAATTTTGTTAGTCTCTTGAAAAAGTTATTAGACAATGTTTTTCCTCATGTCTTGAATTGTGCTGTATGAGACCAATATAGAAAAAAATACACTGCTTTCTTAAAATTATTTAACACAATTTTTTTTTTCATCAACTCATGACATTTCCTTCTGCAAGCCTGTGAAATAACATTGTGAGATCACCGCATATGCAAATTTAGACGTATAGGTTTAGGTATAGATCATTAGACTTAATACCAGGCTTAAGGATTAAGAAACAGAAGTATGGCTATGAAGCCACATTTGTTCACAATTAAAGTTTAAAGGATCAATATAGGGTCAGGAACACAAGCATGTATTCTTGCCCTTATAGTGTTAAAACCACCATCTAGCCCCCCTGGGCCCCTCATGCCTCCATAAATATAGCAAAATCTTACTGTATTCAAGCCAGAAGCTGTAGATCTGCATGCTGTTTGCCTCAAAAAATAAAACAAGCAGTCTGCTGACATCATCAGAAGAGGAAGCCTGATCCAATCACAGTGCTACCTCATAGGATTGGCTGAGACTGACAAGGAGGCAGATCAGGGGCAGAGCCAGCATGATTCAATCCTCATAGAGATGAATTGAATCAATGAATCTCTATGAGGAAAGTTCAGTGTCTGCATGCAGAGGGAGGAGATACTGAACGTTTGGTTGCATTTTAGGCAGCCATGACCCAGGAAGGATCTATAACAGCTATCAGAGGAGTGGCCAGTGAAGTTATCACTAGGCTGTAATGTAAACACTGCATTTTCTCTGAAAATACAGTGTTTACAGCAAAAAGCCTGAAAATAATGATTCTGCTCACCAGAACAAATTGAATAAGCTGTAGTTGTTCTGGTGACTATAGTGTCCCTTTAAGTTTGGGCACCAAATTAAATTTGGCTTTACTAAATCTGGCACTAACCTAATCCTAATGTGGTCAAACAATGCACATCAATGAGTGTTTGGATACCTGTATATAAAACACACACCTATACCTGTTCCAATTTTTTGCAATCCCAACTGGCTGTAAATACCCAAACAAAACTGCGAAATTGTGATCTATTCAGAAATCTTTAAATATGGAAACACATTCCAAACTTAATAAAACCCAGAGTTCCCTTTTATTTCCCTTGCTTTCAAAGCTCAAACTGCTTGTTGTAAATAATTCTATACGTTTTTTGCTTCCTTGTACATTCTCACTTCATTTTCCTTCACCTGGTCGAAGGGTCTCATAATCAGACAGTAACCTATATGCAGTACATGGATTGACACTCAGAGTTGCTGCTCCCACCACAGGTATGTCACTGGGGACCCGAACAAGGGATGACTCATTGTACAATCCTTCTGTGCGCCATGTACCTGGAAAAAATAAATAATGTCAATAATAATGAAAATGAACTAATAAATGGGATTAAAAGAAAAATGAGAGGATGAAGGGAAAGGAAAAAAAAAATCTAGCAGTGGTAGAAGGAAGTTCTGGTGTAAATGAAGGATTATACATGCAAAAAACAGACGTTACAATAGTATGTAAAATGTGAGAGCTCAAAGTTGAGGAGGAACGTACCTTTCTTTAATCGATTCCTCTTTTCTCCCTCGGTCAGGATCTGTTCTTCATTTTTTCCTGTCTGCTCTAGTTTTCTTTAAAACATAGGACAAAGTAGGGACTACTTTGTCTTATGGAGGTTTCCTACGCCTGATCAGTGGAGGAACAAAGTGCGCTTCATTTCCGGTGGTCAGAGCAATTTTCCTGCAATTCTCACCTTTGACCCGTAATCTCGCGATGCTTCCTGTCAGTATTCCCGAACGTCCTGTCACTTAGACAGAACGCTAGCGAAACCATTTCATCCTAACCAAATGAGAACAGTTTCTTCATTCGTGTTAGGACGCAATTCAGGACTTTGTTCGGATCGGAATTTCATAATTCCCACGTTTTCAGGGAGCTATCTACCAAAAGGCTGAAAGACCTAAATTGTTCTTTCAGCCAAATTTACCAATACTAAGTAAAGATTACTTAGTGTTAATAAATTCTGCCCCTACTCGCTATATTGCGAGTAACGGGCATGTCCAGTAAACAGTGAGCAGCCAGTGGCTGCTCACGGTGTTAAAAAAAAACCAAACAAATCCCTGGTGTCCCCCCTCCCAAGCCGCGCAAATGGGGGCTCTTAAACTGAACGGTGGACCTATTGCGCCCTCGTCTCCCCTGGGTGGGGGTCCTAAATAACTAGGGGGGGACGGGACCTATTGTTGTCCCCCCCCGGACCTCACCCATGAGCCGCGGGTGGGGGCCAATAGGTGCCCTATTCAGTTTAAGAGCCCCCACTCGCTCGGCACGGATGGTGGCTCAGGAGTGGGGACACTAGGGGCCTTTTATTTATTTTATTTATTTTTTTTTAACAGTGAGCAGCCACAGGCTGCTCACTGTTTGGTAGACATGCCTTACTCGCGATATAGCGAGTAGAGGCCGATTATTTACTAATACGAAGTAATCTTTTGTAACCTTTTGGTAGATAGCTCCCTGATACCGTGAGAATTAGGGAGTTATCTACTAAGCGGATGCAAGATTCATCAGTGGCACGAATAGGATCAGAGTTTCATTCATTTGAACAAAGTCCCGAAATGCGTCCTAACACCAATGAAGAAACTGTTCCCATTCTGTTAGGATGAAATTCAGTAGTTTTGCATGTGTTCTGTCTAAGTAACAGGACGTTCGGGAATACTGACAGGAAGCATCGCAAGATCACGGATCAAAGGTGAGAATTGTGGGAAACTTGCTCTGACCACTGGAAATGAAGCACACTTTGCTACTCCGCTGGTCATGCGTAGGAAACCTCCATAAGACAGAGTAGCCCCTACTTTGTCTTATGTTTTAAAGAAAACTAGAGCAGACAGGAAGAAATTAACAGATCCTGACAGAGGGAGAGAAGAGGAATTGATTAAATAAAAAAGGTATGTTCGGCATGACAGTGCCGCTTTAAGAAAACCTGGAAGATAAGTGTTGTGGGCAATGAGACCTAAGCTCTCATGCATCCTCAGAGATCATTAGAAGTTAGTATGGTGAAACTAAAACTAACCTACTTTATATTAATTATAAGAATCAACACATTATTGGAAGAGAACCAGATTTTGTGTATTTGTGTAAAAAAAGAAAACAAAAAAAATATTTAATCCTTGGAAAAACTGTTTTTGGCTGACCTTGTGTGGAATTAAGCCTACAGTCATCACCAGAGGAGAGGAGTAAAGGCCAAAAAAAGGGCCGGGTCAGCTGATCTGGCCACTCACGTGCTGGTGATGGCTGGGACATGGGTAGGGGTGCGTGGGCCCGACGGGTCTATCCTGATGCGGGACACTATGAGGCTAAGAGTGGCGGCTTAAGAGATACGTGTCCCCTTCCCCCCCCCCCCCTTTTTTATTCTGGTTTCTCTCTCCAATTCTTCTCTTTCATCCTTCCATACACGCTCTCCCTTCCGCTCCTGTGCCTGAGCCTCTCTGACTGGACTAAGGAACAATGACTGGCGACCACATCACTCTACTAGCACACACAACCACGACAAACAGCGTGACAGAAGCGAGACCCACGTACGAACAACCTGACACACCCTAAGACTGACCCGCTAACTGGACGTGCCTGCTCTACACATGAAACCCCCGAGATGGCCTCGGGCCGGGGCCGAGTGACTTACGCTCAGGTATTGAGGTGGGAGGTCGGACCCTCATACGCGCCACGGTTTTCCCCATGGCTATGTTACCCTATTCAGCACCCAAAATTGAGACAGTGCCTCTGGAGTAGACGCACGAGCAGATTTAGCGGGCAAGGCCACTGAGTCATCACCGTCCAATAGCGGTACGCGGGCTTACCTGGCTCGGGCGGGGTGGGGTGGGGATGGTTGGGGCGGGATGCGGATCACACCTGACTCCCCCAACATACCTGGAGCTATGAGTTTCCGGGAGATACCCGCCTCCCCACCCAACTACATGACGCAACAGGAATTCCCTACCATGGTGATACGTCACCGACATCAATTTGCAACATCGAGACGATCTCTGCACCACTATAACAAACCATAGGCTAGATAGTGGGCCCACTACACGGCTGTTAATTATAAACATGTTACCATTGAAATACTGTTGTGAATCTACTTATTGTGAGCTTTTTTCATACTTAACTGTTGAAAACAAAAATAAAGATAGTCTTTAAAAAAATAAAAAAATAAAAAAAAAAGCCTACAGTCATGATGGTTTTGTCAAGTTTCCTAAACCCCAGAGAACCTCTAATGAGTGTCAGCATACAGAACAGACCTTGCAGTTACACGATTTAAATGACCAAGATTCTCTCAGATTTCAGCCACAGTATAAAATGTTAAAATGTCCTGCATGAAAATATTTAAAGCGTGTCTTACTTCTTGAGCATAATCAAATACTGAAAGTTTTTGATTGCCCTGAGGTAAGTTGTTTTGCATGTAAGGTTATACTTTACATGGACTAGGATCTTGCTCTTAGATGTAAATAAATCTGGGCTAGCTACAGTAGGTGTAACTCCCCTCTCTGGCAGCAACGTTAGCCAGCCCAGCATAAGAGCTCTGTGCAAAGACACTCATTCATGGGCTGAGAGCACTCAGCTAATGCTAGCAACCTAAGAATGAGGAGCAGCAGGATTGGCATCCGGCTTCTGCATTCAGCTCTGCAAAAGCTGGATATCATCCAGCTGCCATCGAAGGAGGCTTAGCTTCCAGCAGGACCCAGGTAAAAGCAACCGTATGCCCCATTACAGAGGAATGTTGCCAGGGTACTCCCAATATCAAAAATCACAATAGCGGGCAGTAGAGGTGGTTACAGAAACGCTTTAAACATTTTTTACATTATTTGTAGAGAAAAATGTTTCAAACCATTTTGTTTCTTTTTCATAATAAAAAATAAATAAATCAGCATTTTTCACTTTTTAAAATTTCTAATACATAAATTGTATCTCATTTTAACAAAAAGGGCTGTGTATGGTATTACCAGGTGTAAATAAACATTTACACTGGTTCATTCTTGGCTGAAAGTGCCCAGATAATTTAGTATCTCGGGTCAGATCCCTATTGACTTTAATTCTGAAAAGCTCATAATGATGCATAGCCTAAAGTGATGGACAGGAGAGGACGGAGCACTCTGGCAGTTTGGTCATAGACAAATGGACAGAGGCTCCTGGTAGTCCGCATACTGTTGAGAAGCAATGTACTAGCTAGGAAGTATACAGAACTCCCCAATTTGGTATTCAGCATTGAGGGTCCCTATGGCTGGCAGCTCAGCCTGTGTGGAGGGGTGGGACCGGAGGTATGTCTTACGCCAGCCTCTCTCTCCCTCGCAGAGTAGGCAGGCAAGCAGTAGAGGAGCACTTCAAGTGCTCTATGTGTTTGGAGTGTTCCTTTAACACAGAGGTAAATCTATGGCTGGACTTTATGTAATGGCTTGGAGAGGGCCCAGAGTCTAATTTTGCCAAGGGGCCCAGAATACTGTCAGCCCATCCCTGGTGATGGGATACATACAGTTTAACATTTAAGGTACACAAAGTGGCGCACAGTGATTTAAATGAATTCCTGCATATACATCTGTTAATTATTAACAGACAAGTCCAATAAACTCAACTTGTTGCTTACAAGGTGGAAATTTGAATATACAACTCGAATCATACCAAGAAGTCACTCAATGGGGAGTAGAGGGTGAAAGGGTACTTTGAATTAGTGCAGATGGAGAATGAATGGAAGCTTTCATATGGTCTCAAGGCCTTGTTAAAAATCTTCTAGTCATAAAATATCAGCTGTGTTGGTCACATAGAGAGGGAATATAGGATTCTCCTCATATATAGGTTTGGTGTTAAAGATTGTGTGTCTGTGGAGTACAAGGAGTTTCATTGACTTGGCATTTTACCCACGACTGGCTTTTTCCAGGGTTGGCTTGCTGACCTTGTATTTGGGGACATTGTTTTACCATTGCTCTGTTCTTCATATGGTTCAAGTTAGACACATAGGTATTTGACCTAACAACAGATAAAAGACAAGAAAAAAAAAAGAAAGAGCACAGAGAAAGAATAGTAGCAATAGTAATTTTCTTGTATTAGTTACAAATCATCCACATCACGATTCTGACATTTACTGATGTCTAGGTGTGTGATTATTAGTAGAGCGACACATTTCAAAATATATTGCAATGGTCATGATAGCATATATAAGCCCATTCAAATATATTGCTGGTTTGACAGTGGGGCATGGGCATTCTAGGAAATGCAGGACATATTGTTTGGAACTAAAGGGTTTGGTTCAAATACAAAAGGGAGGGAAATCAATGCTGGTGGTGGCTGAGCTTCATACATACAGGGATAAAGAAGACAATGCTCGAATTGGGGGCAAAACCAAGGAGGCAGGCTAATAAAAAAAAAAAAAAAAAATATATACTTTTTTCTGTCCTCTGCAAGCAAAAACGCAGCGTATTATTGAGGCAAAAATTTGCCAAAACGCATTAAAGTTGTATTGGTGCCAATAATTTACTCCAGAATGTATTTTTTTTTTTTTTACTATGAAACATGCTTGACTGCATTTTTAGCTACAAATGAGATTTGATGCATCATAGGTTTTGTTACTATTACAGCTCATCTGAACTACATGGAGTGAAAAATAAACCACACTGGAACCAATACCAGTGGTGACTTTTAAATGTCTCACTTCACAGCTGCTAGCAAGGTGTTCATATTGCTCCAAGTAATTAAAATAGTACCAGTAATTTATCCAGTAAATTATCCAGTAGATATGTCAGCAAAAGATCTGTTTAATCTTGGGGACGAGATCATTGAGTGCAAGTGCAGATAGTACTGGCACAACAAAATATTTAATAAACTTGTTGAATGATTACACTTGTTTGTTATTCATTTATGAAAGTCCAACAATGAAGAGGAAATAGCAGCTCTGCTAAAAAAGCAATCGAAAGATGGTTTTCCAGATGCTCCATAAGTTACGAGTGTCTTTAAATGTCTAGTACTAGCATTGATCTGATGTGGTTTAATTAATGCTCTCTACTTTTCAGGCAGCTAAGATAATGTGTGAAAATCCATTCCAGGCTAGCACATACTAAAAATCGGCATCTATGCAAGCCCCTAGCAAAGTGATGAAAAGGGCAGTAATGGGTTTCCGACATAATTTCGTGCCTTTAAGAGGAATATAGAGTTATCTTCTCTAAAACTAGTCTACCCTGAATAAAATAGGAGATTAAACAGAGAAGCAAAGTTGACATTAGAAAGCTGTAGAGGAAAGAAAGTATTATTCTCTTATTAGCGTAGCTAGTTTAGTGTCTTTTTGGTCTATTCTTACCAAGGCCAGCATCTACTGGGATCACCCAGTCACCAGGTCGTACAGATGTAACATGATTTCCGATTTCTGCAACAACACCTACGCCTTCATTGCCTCCCACAGCAGGTAATTCCGGCAAAAGAGCATAGGTTCCTGAAAATACGAGGAGAGCAGATTACTCTGAGCATATCTGTGGTCTTATAAGTGAATATAGGGAATGGTAAATTTACAATTGTTAAAATCAGAAAATTGAATAAGTCACAAAGAACACTGTACTGTTATATAAACAAGAATAGAAAAAAAGAAATAGAAAAAAAAAAAAATATATATACCAGTAGGTGTATTCCTAAATTAATAGTATCAGTTGTCACAAGTGGAGAAAATATAAAACTTAACTTTTAATAAGTATTTGGTAAAAATAGTTTCAATAACAAAACGTGGTCAATAAATAAAAATAATAAATAAACGAAGACCGAGATATTCAGTCCATACTAATTGTTGTATCCGAATAATCAGGACTAAGTGGTGAAAAAATGTATCAAGTGCACAAGGAATGCCTCTATTAAGCAGGATCTATGTAGATCGCCTGGTCACCTTAAAGTCCCTACAAGATTATCGGAACAAAAAAACTGTAGGAGGAGAGGAAAGAGTGTAGCACGAGCCTATGGTTAGGTTTAACAGATAAAACTAACGTGCCTTCGTGGGCACCCCTTATCAAATGCCTGCTCTAACACTAGTCCCCCCCATACAACAGCAGTATAGCAAAGATAATAGAAAATAAATGGATAGTAATATTAGTGAATAATGGACTTTCACTCGGTCGCAGGATGCCCATAGAGAGTAAGATAACTCGCAAAGTATCGGCAGTGCTGGTTAAGAGCATGAATATTGCCGACTAGGCGTCCTATACCCCTGACGCGCGCGTTTCTCCCGGGTTGCTCATCAGAGCACAGTGAGTGACTGGTGAGAAATTGGCAAAGCCTGCATAATTCACACTCAGTCATGTAGACACCCAGAGAAGAATAACCACACAGCCTTAGGCAGATTACCAGTTTGGCCTCCCTTCACATACACTTTGCATGGGGATGGTGAATAAAGCCAATCTTAGTAAAGATTTTCATTGTTCTAAGACCTTTGTGTAACCCATGTATATTAACAAGCACACACACACACACACACACAAAAAAAACCCACACAAACATTTAAACATTCTCTTCTTTGGAATAAAGTAACGTATAAACAAAACGTTTGAAAATGCTATGCATATTTAAATAGAACTGCTTTTGTTTGCCTAATGGAAGGTGAATTTATACTGAAAGTGTAATCTGAAACCTTACCTTGCACCATGTTAATATCTGAAGGGTTAATAGGGGCAGCCAATATTTTAACTCTGACATCATAATCACCAGGAGATGGGACTTCCAAATTCTGTAATCTGTAAAGGGACAAAGGTGTAAAAGTTACATGTTTTTATAGGTGGGGTGTTTAAAATGTTCTAAAGTGGTTGTTCAAGTTTAAAGCAGTTGAATAAAATATAGAATGTGGTTTAAATCTCAGCAACTGACAGGAATGATATCCTCTTCATTTAGTATTTTTTATACTTCAACAGCATTAACTAATTAAAGCATTAATTAATTCCTGTAAATTGTAGAAATGATCCAACTCCAGAAAACTGCAACATTTCTGTTACTGTTGTGAAACTTAGCATCATGGTCATGATGCTTGGAGTACCCTGGCTCTGTTACTCAGTAATAGAGCAAATGGTTTAGCAATGGTTTGCCCCCTTTACCTGGGTTTGACATTCTTTGTGACGTGCTTCTGAAGAGCCCCAGAAGATGTAACTGATGCAATGCATGGGCTAAGCTGACTCCTCAACAAATTATTGTTGCACAGATATTACATTTGCCTGAGCAGAAATCTAGTTCCGGGCTGGCTGATGACAACCCAATGACCCTGCTGGAGTTGCAGTTACACCTTCAGTAACGGAGTAATCTGTGGTTAGTACATTTTTATTTTTGCCTTTTTTCTTTAGATTGATATTTGAATGTTAAAGGGGCACAAAAGGCGCCAAAACAACTTTAGTTTAACCCCTTAAGGACCAAACTTCTTGAATAAAAGGGAATCATGACATGTCACACATGTCATGAAGGGGTTAATGAAGCAATTTGGATGTATAGATCATGCCCCTGCAGTCTCACTGCTAAATTCTCTGGAGTTAAATCACTATTTATACAGCTCTAGTCACACCTCCCTGCCTGTGATTTGCACAGCCTTCCTAAACACTTACCGAAAATGAACCTAACTAACCCACGACAAGCGGGTGCTAATGCACGCATTAGACCTCCCCATACGAAAGCATTGAATCAATGCTTTCCTACAGGAAAAAAAAATAAAATCTGACACTGGATGACCTAACGCACAGCGTCAAGACGTTCAGCGTTTGATATCGGACCAAAGGTCCTGGTAGACAGCCACTGGAGGCAGACTTAGAGCTACAATGTTAACATTGCAGTTTCTCTGGAACTGAAATGTTTTACATTGCAGCACGAAGTGCAAAAGGTACACTGCACCCAGACCCCTTCAATGAGCGGAAGTGGTCTGGGTGCCTATAGAGTCCCTTTGACTCCGAAATGGTAGAGAATTGAACATTGAGACTGCAGGGCCATGATCTACACATTAAAATGTATTCATTAAAAGGGACACTATAGTCACCAGAACAACTACAGCTTATTGTATTTATTCTGGTGAGTATGATCATTCACTTCAGGCTTTTTGCTGTAAACACTGTTTATTTTCCAGAGAAATGCAGTGTTTACATTGCAGCCTAGTGATAACTCCACTGTCCACTCATCAGATGGCTGCTAGAGGTGCTTCCTGGGCCAGTACTGCAGAATGCTACTCAGTATAATTTGAATGAGTTGTAATTGCAGTGACATTCTAACTGGTCAACGTATTTCCAGAAGCTTTTCTAATTATGAAATACTCATCTTGCATAGGAGGGAATTCACAGGGCTGCTTTAAGCCCTTATGCAAGCACTCCAGCAAAGCTCATGCTATGGGTGCCCGGTCACCCAAGTGCATGGTAAATTGAACACTCATTCCATACCTGTGTGTACAGCCTGTGGGGGCTTCTTGACTGCACCAGGGCAGCCAAGTATGTCATGTCAAATATAAAACCATTAAAGAATCACTATAGGCACCCAGACCACTTCAGCTTAATGAAGTGGTCTGGGTGCCCAGGTCCAGCTAGGGTTAACCCTTTTTTCTATAAACATAGCAGTTTCAGAGAAACTGCTATGTTTATGTTAGGGTTAATCCAGCCTCTAGTGGCTGTCTCTTGACAGCCGCTTGCGTGCTTCTCACTGTGATCTTCGCAGTGAGAAGACGCCAGCGTCCACAGGAAAGCATTGTAAATGCTTTCCTATGAGACTGGCTGAATGCGCGCGCAGCTCTTGCCCTGCATGCGCATTCAGCCGAAGAGGAGGCGGAGAGCTCCCCGCCCGGTGCTGGAGAAAGAGGTAAGTTTAACCCCTTCCTCTCCCCCCAGAGACCGGCAGGAGGGGGACCCTGAGGGTGGGGGCACCCTCAGGGCACTATCATGCCAGGAAAACGAGTATGTTTTCCTGGCACTATAGTGGTCCTTTAAAGAATAAATAGCACAAGGCATGGATAACTTCCATTCACTGTGTAATGAATAACTCCTATTGTTTCAGGAAATGACATTTCAGGAGAGAGATTTATCTGGACAAACAGGTGCTTTAAGGGTACAAAGTGCCCTATTGGTTTCCATGGCGATTGCTCCATATTTAGCTCCTTGCACAGAATAGCATGTTTGCCTTGCTAATTCTTGCTGAGGGCTGCTCTCTCTTCCCAGGTTGCTTTACAGGTTACGAGTGTCTCATGACATGTTCCCATGATGCATTGCTCGCTCAACTGGCTTCCACTCTTCCATTCCCAGAAGGCTCTGCGACACGACAGCATTCCCAGCCGCGGGCACTCTACCATACTATGCTATACATATATATTGAAAGGTGCTGTGCCCCTCCTCCCATGATGCTAGGCGCCACACACTTCCCTTTGCCCTTCCTCCCATGATGCTGTGCTGTCCTAGGATGCTCCGGCTTAATTTCCCATGATCCCATGTCTCACCGCAGCACCTGCAAGGGCTCCCCGTGCTTCTCGTATACGAGCCCCCGGGCTGATAGGGTGCTGAGCGGGCGGCGGAGCAGGCGTATACCCGGCCACATGGCTTCCCTCCTGGGTACAGATCCGCTACGAGACAGCTCCACCCCCGGCCCGTTACGTCACCGCACGGCCACGCCCACTGCCGGCGGCTTAGCTGGGACCTTGGTTAAAGGTGACCCAGACTGGCAGCACGTGGAGTAACTAGCGATACTCACTTCGCTGGCAGCGTTCATTTCCAATAATAGTTTTCACTTTAAAACCCGAATGAAGCGGTTTGTGTGATTACCCCTGTCTGTGTGCACAGGGGCTAAATTTTATATTTGCATAAAATGCCAGGCTGTGCCAGAACAGCCTTACTCCGTGAGGCAAATTTGAAAGCGTCACCTAGTAATTTAAAGCAATATAGAAGAAATTACAAAATGTGCAGTTACCCTCAAAGTGAGAACCATTTGAACAGTATAAAATAAAATAATAATTACGGGATTTTACTATAGTGATTAAAAATGAAAGCGGATACCCATAACTGGAGGTAGTGAATGTAAACATTAAGAACACTGGAGTCCCTTATGTAGGTTTAAAGTGCCTACTCAAAATGGATCAAACATAATATTGATTTTTACAGTAAATGTGTAGCAGCTTTAGCTTTCTCTGCATAGAGGAGATCATAGGAGCGACCTCCCTTTGGTGTTTTCCAACACTGTATGGATAATATGCACAAAATCCCTGCAATCCAAAACCTATTTGTTTTACTGGCATCAGTTCTGGATGCTCCCAATGAGCCTCACTTGTGTTATTGTGTGGGGACCAGCTTAATTTTATGGCAAGGCAGGAGGCTTCATATTTGCTTATCTTTCTTTACTGAAACCTCCAGCAGCAAAGAAATAGTTAACAATCAGTGTAAGAAAGTTTAACCAAACAGCATGGATCACAGTAATATAAACTGCCATCAGGATCCTCCCAACTCCTCTTTCTTTGCTGCTTAGCCTCCCAGGCGAGTCTATTCCAATCATATCCCTATTAATAGCGCTTTTAACTGACTATTATCTTTTTACTATCTTGCTCTTTTAGCTGTCAATAATCATTTAATTTATTATTATTTATTTAATATTTATAAAAAAAATGTGAAGTGTTTTCCTTTTTAGTACACTTAGTGAGCTGACATTCCAGTCTGCCCACAACTTTATATTACTTCCTAAATATAACAGCCTTCTTAGTTTGTGCTCTGTCAGTTTAATCAGATCACTGACAGTTTCGCCGCAGCTCCCGGCATTTAGCCGGTCCGTTCAGCCGCTCTGTTACTGTGCTCATTTGCCCCGCCCTCAGCGTCTCCATGGTGACGCGCCCCGCCCCGCCCTTTTCTCTGTGCCGCGGCCATCTCTCTTGCTTTTTGCTCGGGCGAAATCTTGTGGATTCTTGCCTCTATACAGGGTAACCCCCTATATGATAACACAGGTACATACCTATTATTAATGTTGGACGTTATATTGTCCTTTTTTTCCTCTGGGTGAACCCCACTGATATACTGTGGATGAACCCCACTTGTCTAATAGGTTAATTCTTTATGTATTTTACAACTGCTGTTTAAAGTCCACCGCCTATTTGTAAATAGTTGTCTGCACATTCAAAAAAAAAAAAAAAAAAAGAAACTTAAAAAAAATAAAAAATAAATAAATAAAATATATTTTAGTGGTGACCCCACTGTTTTTGACATTATGTCGGATTTACCAGATCCAGCAGTCTCTGCTGAACTTAAGGCATGGCTATACAATGCAATTGCCGACTCTATACCCAAAGCTTTAGCGGCTTTCCGCGAGCAGTCAATTCCAGCCCCTACGGCGACTATTACCCAGCTGTCAGTCTCCGAGGAGTCTCATGGTTCAGACCGGGATGAAGTTCCTCGCAAGCGCCCCTGGAAGGGCAATAGTGCTTGAACCGGTAAAGGCAAAGCGCCTGCCAAACACCCTAGTGTTTCCCTTTCTAAACCCAGGGAGGTGGTCTCCCAACATGATTTTTACCCACTTGAGGGTTCAACCTCTAATTATAATCTTCAGGTGGTAGATTAATACTATGCAGAACATTCGGATAACGATGCTCCACCTCATAAGACATCCCGAGACCTTTACCCTTCTGATTTCACTAATGAGCCCTCCCTCATACCAAATCAAGAGGAATTCCATTTGGAATCTGACCTAACATCTGATCCTAACTTAAAAGATGACACCTTATTTGACACCTCTGGCCACCCTTTATTTGACCCTATATGCACAAGCACCCTAGATCTGCCGAATGGACACCCCCGGACCACATTGTAGAATGTGGCTCCGTCGGCCTTTAGAAAAAGAGGTGAGAGCCAAATTGAGGCCAGAATGCCCACGTCCCATTATCCCGGACAAGGTGGCCATTACACCTGAATTCAACCCCTTCCGTGTTACCTTTCTGACCAAGTCAGGGAAAGACCCCCGTAAGGGTCTAGACCAGGGTCTGAAAGCCACCCAAGATAAACTGATGGATATGTGGCGGGCCCGCTTATACAAATTTTCATTATAGCAGACGAGGCTCTATCAGGTGGCACTTTTGATGCACATATGGTGCGAGAGTGGGCACAAAGGGCTTTATGCCTTTTAGGCAATGCCAACGTGTCGATCTCGACAGAACAGCGAGAGGCCGTCCTTTATAAAATCGATGCCAAGCTTGCCGAATTGGGCATTAAAGAACTTGGTCCAGAGACTCAAGGCATGTTATTCGGAGACAAGTTCATAAAAGAACTAAGTAAACACGTCTCTGTATTTACTACGCTAACTAAAGCGCGTGTTTCGCACGCAATGTTTTTCCGGGAGGGCTGGTTGCTACAGAGGCCGAGCGACTGGCAGAGCCGCCTTCACAGGCTACAGGCCTCGACCCACAGACCATTGTAACTCTGGCAATACCAGATTCCACCACAGGCAGTTTTTCCCCTCTCGCGGAGCTATCCAAGGACGTGGATCTGCTTCCCTCCGCGGTCGCACTGCTACAGGTAATGGACCTTACTTATTCTCAACAAACTATTCGCCAAAGGTGCGATCGAAAGAGTTGTTGGCCCACAGGTCTTCATAAGCAACATGTTTCTGGTCAAGAAAAAAATCAGGAGACCTACGACCTGTTATCAGTCTGAGAGATCTGAACAGGTTCATCACATACCGTCACTTCAAAATGGAGGGAATCCATTTATTGAGAGACCTACTCTGCGAGGGAGATTGGTTCTCCCACTTTGATCTAAAGGATGCTACCTCACGGTGCCGGTAACACCAGCCCACTGCTTCCTCCTTCAGTTTCGTTGGGAACAGGAACTATGGCAATTCACCTGCCTCCCCTTCGGCCTATCTTCCGCACCCTGGTGCTTTACCAAACTAATGAAACCAGTAATGGCGTTACTGCGTTCCCAGGGAATCTGGTCCATCGTTTATCTGGACGATATTCTCCTCATGGCGCAGGACCAAGAGACTCTTCACCTTCAGACAGCCATGACCTCCGCTTTGTTGCAGAATCTTGGCTTCGTGATCAGTCGCCAGAAGTCATCTCTCACTCCGTCCCAGATCGTACAATTCCTGGGATTCCAGATAGATTCTGTTCAGGCAGTCCTACAACTTCAGGCAACCAAAATCAAATCCATAAAAAAGGACATTCGGAGGTTGCTGATATCACCATACCTCTGCCTGCGAGATCTAGCTCACATCATCGGCTTGCTCTCCGCTTCAATACAGGCAATATTCCCTGCCCCATTGCACTACCGAGCATTGCAATGCCTGAAGACGCAATATTTACATCAGTCGACATCCTACGATAAACAGATCACACTCACAGACGAAGTCCGGCTAGAACTCCATTGGTGGCTACACCATATGGACGATTGGAATGGGAGAGCCATCTTTGGATCCCAACCCGATTTCATCCTGGAATCAGATGCAAGCCTGCTTGGATGTGGCGCAACTTGCTCGGAAAGCTCTACAGGAGGGCTCTGGTCCCATTCGGAACGAGCACTTCATATCAATTGCCTCAAACTAGTTGCGTGCTCCTTCACAATCTGAAGTTTCGCCAAGGAATGTCTACAATTGTTCCGTGGTGCTGAAGATGGACAATGTCTCAGCAGTTCATTACGTGAATCATCTAGGAGGTTCCAAATCAAAGATTCTTTCAGACCTGACCAAGGAATTGTATCAGTTCTGCCTAGACAGGAATATCTCCCTGTGAGCAGAATATCTACCGGGATCAGACAACCTCGTCGCCGACTGGTTCTCCCGACTTTGGAGAGATTCCAGCGATTGGCAACTGGATCTACAAATATTTCACCGTCTCCAGGTCTGGCGGGGACCATTCAACCTTGACCTGTTTGCGTCTCGCCTCAACTGTCAGACGGATGCTTTTTCAGCTGGTTACCAGACCTAGCGTGCCTTGCAGTCAATGCCTTCTTACAGACCTGGCCGATGTCTGGAGCATATGCGTTCCCTCCATTCTCCATGATCCCGCATACACTACAGTACCTCAAAACTCAAGGTGTCAAGATAAGTCTGGTAACCCCCCAAGGGCGGGCCCAACCATGGGACCCTTACCTTCTGGAAATGTCACTGGATTTTCCCCTGCTTCTATCCACCTCCTGCGACCTCCTCATGGACCCGGCAGGCAATTTTCACCCGTTGGCAATCCAGGATCATCTCCGACTAGTGGCTTGGACCGTTTCAGGGGATCTTGGAATGTCTCAGGCCTTTCGACTACTGCTCAGGGACTCCTTTGGGATTCATGGGCCCCAGGAACCAGACGCTCTTACATCTCCGCATGGCATCATTGGAGTTGCTGGTGTTTGGAAAAGAACTTTGATCCCTTTTCAACATCTATAATTAATATTATCAATTTCCTGTCGTCTCTGTTCGATCTGGGTAAATCCTACCGACTATTAACGTGTTTCAATCTGCTATTTCTGCAGCGCACGTTCCTATTGAAAGTTCTTCAGTAGGCAAACACCCTTCTGTGTGTAGACTCTTGCAGGGCATCCGCATCGCTAGACCTCCGGCTCCCAAATATAATCAATTCTGGGACGTGGCTCTCATGCTCACGTTCTTAGAAGCTTGGCCAGACAACGAGACACTCTCCCTACGCTAATTGTCAGCCAAATTAGCTCTCCTCCTTTGCTTGGTCTCCTTCCGAAGAGTCTCCGACATCAGGGCTTTCGACTTTCATGCCCTCGATTTTCACATCACTAGACGCACCATGAACAATTCATCTACAGTGAGCTACCCCTACTTTACGGAGAAACCACTTCTCTGCGTAGTCCATTGCGTAAAACACTATATCTCTCGCTCTACCCCTCTTGGGGCACCTACTGGGCCCCTCCTTGTGTCTTATGTGCGACTACACAAACCAGTCTGATTGGATTAAATGCCTACTAGCTCTGGCTGGCATTGATGCGTCTTTCGGGGCTCACTCGGTTAGAGGCGGCCGCCTCCTCTGTGTTCATGGCTGGAGGTTCCCTGGCGGAGATTTTGTCCTCCGCCGATTGGTCTAGAGAATACACTTTCCGTACCTTTTATTTTAGACATTCTCCACACGTTTCTTTGTCCATGCTATCTACGCGTTAAAATAGCAAATATGAAGCCTCCTGTCTTGCCTCCTGTTTTGCCAATTCGGGATTATTCTAACTTTTAGTGACCGAATAATCTAAATTTATTAAAGACAGGAGGCGAATATTTTCCCACCCAGGAATACCTTTACCCACCCTATCAGGTAAGTATCTCTTAGTACCTCCATCTCTAACTAGGTGGCTAGCATCCTTTCGACTTGTCTTCTTTTCTGGCCTCCACAGGCAGGGAGGGAGCTAGGAGAGGACCTGGGAAGCTCTAGCCAGCAGCTCAGCCGTGTTCCTCTCGCGAGGTCGGATGCATTGTGTGTTACTGTGTGTATGTAGGGATGCATTGTGTGTGTGTGTGTATGTGCAGGAATGCATTGTGTGTTTGTAGGGATGCATTGGGTGTTTCTGTGTGTATGTGTTTAGGGATGCATTGTGTGTGTGTGTGTGTGTGTGTGTATAGTGTGAAAGAGAGAGTTTGTGGGGTAGGATAGGGACTGAGTCTTGCCTGGGCTGAGAGGGGAGCAGCTCTTTATTTGTATTACTATATTTATTTTGTGAGTATAATTTTTTTTTCCGTTTTTTTTTTCTATTAAGTTTTGTGTTTTACATCCCCCTCTAGTGTATCTCTTAAAAGCCCTGTGTGTCTCTTATACCCCCTCTTTGTACGTCTCCTACATTCTCCCAACCACTTTGCGTGTCGTACTCTGCCAAGACCCTTTCTGTCTTTACTCTTCCCAGCTCTTTGTGTGTGTCCATTTCACTCCCAGGCCCCTCTGTGTGTCTTTTTCCTCCTAAGTCTCCTCTGTGTGTCTCCCTCCCAAGATCATCTGTGTGTCTCTTTCTCCCCTACCAACCACTTTGTGCTTCTCTTTTGCCCCTTCCTCAGTCTCTGTGTCTCTTTTCCTCTCCCCCCGTCCCTTAATGATCTATTTCACACCCCTCAACCCATCCCTTAGTGGTCTCCTATCCTCCCTCTGTCTTTTAGTGGTCTCCTCTTCCGCCTTGTCCCTTAGTGCAGTCCCCTCCTCTCCATTAGAGCTCTCCCCTCTTGTACCTTAGTGCTCTGCCATCCTGTACCTTAGTGCTAGCCCCTGTCCTCCTGTCCCATTGAGCTCTCCCCTCCTGTCCCTTCGTGATCTCCCCTGCCCCACTTAGTGCTCTCCCTGCCCCACTGTCCCTCAGTGCTCTCCCCTCCCTTAGTGCTGTCCCCTATCCCCCTGTCACCCTTGGTGCTTACCCCTCCCTTAGTGCTCTCCTCTCATGTTCCCTATTGCTCTCCCCTCCCGTCCCTTGGTGCTCTACCCTCCCCCCGCCCTTAGTGCTATCCACACCCGTCCCTTAGTGCTCTCCCCTCCCGTCTCTTAGAGTTGTCCCCTCCTATCCCTTAGAGCTGTCCCTTAGAGCTCTTACCTCTCCTCCTGTACCTTAGAGCTTTCCCATCCCCTCTTGTCTTAGTGCTCTTCTCTACCCCCTGTCCCTTAGTGTGTCCCCCGCCCCACTTTTCCTTAGTGGTCTCTCCTCTCACCCCGTCCCTTAGTGTTCTCTCCTCTCTCCCTCTGTCCCTTAGTGGTCTCTTCTCTCTCCCCCTGTCCCTTAGTGTAATTCTCTTCCCCCTCCCCCCTCCTAGTGGTCCTCTCCCTCCACCCATCCTTCTTAGTGGTCCTGTCCCCCCACCCCCTCCTTAGTGTTCTTCTTTCCCTCCACTCCCCTTAGTGTTTTTATCTCACCCAGTCCCCCCCAGTGGTCCTCTCCCCCCACTCACCTCTCCTTAGTAGTCCTATCCCCACCATCTCTCAGTGAGCAATTCCTGTCAGGCCCGGCACAGGAAACTGAAGCTCCTGTACCGTGCTCCGCTCCGTTCGGTCACACTACACTGAGTGACATGTAGGAGGGAGCGCAGTGCACGTCCCTCCTACAGGTCACTCTAATTTTGCGCTCCCCCCCCCCCGGGCCAGTGCACCCTAAGGTGGCCTCCCTATGGACGCACCAGCCATCCTGAAAAGCTAATTTGCCAGGAATGTCCCGGGTGAGTGAATTACTTGGGACAGTCTCCAACTTGCTGGGACTATCCTGGCAAAAACGGGACAGTTGGCAATTATGTTACTGTCATTCCATATTAGACTTTATTTATCACCTTTTATGGTTTCAGTGGCCCTTCAAGTACCTACATAGACCTCAATATTGTACTCTTGCATGAGCGAGAGTTTAGCAGTGACAACGGTTCCAGACAATATAGTGCCGAGAGCTGAAGAGGACCTGCTGGGAGAAGATGACGCCCAAGAGGGACAGGTACAGGTAGACAGAGCTTACATTTACCTGCCTCCCCTGGCCACTGGACCCCCAGCAGCGATGTCATCGTAGGGGGTCTTAGCAAATTTCCAAGATGGTGACAATGCCACTTTTAATTATTACTGTTTATAAAAAAAAAAAATGTAATTGTGGGCAGTGTTGCGTTGCCCCAACTGTTACGGAAGTTATTGCTTGACAGGTAATAAGGTGCTTGCTGGAGAAGGTGTTTACTTTGCACAAACCTCCAGCAGGATAGGCGTTACCAACTTGTGTATACACTTTGGGTGAATGGAGCACTGTAATCTATGTGTAATATTTTAGGTGAAAAAACATAAAACCTTAACAGCGCCCCACTGAACAACCACATCAGAGATGGGGAACCGAGCTGTTACAAATAGCTCCCTGTAAGAATGTTCACTAAGATAGCTACTCTCCTACAACCAAAAGGCAGGGTTAGCAGTAGGTGGTAAAACAATTTTTAAATATAGAGTCCCAAAAAAGGAGTGTGCATGTGTGTTTGTGATATTTGTGTTGTTGTTTCGGAGTGAGTATCTGTATGTTTCTTAGGGCTAGTGGGATAATTAAGATAGTAGGGGTTTTTAGAGTTAGGATGGTGTCTAAGGTTCGGTTACACTGGTAAATGGGTTAGGATGAGTTAGAAAGCTGGCATCAGCCATTGCTGGGGCAGACACTCAGCCCATTGTCAAAGATCGGCATTCACATGAGACAAAGTAGTCACTACTTTACCTCTTGCATTTCATTTTGTTGTGTTGGACTTGCAGACATTTCATTACATCCAAAAAGACATTTTCATAAAGATACTGTTATTATGATGAGTTCAAATGTGACAGTGCCATCTTAACATTAGATGCAATACATTTCCATAAGTCTTGTCAGAAAAAGAACTTGAATCACAGATACTTGACGTTTGATACATCTTAGAGATAAAAGATCCTGAAATATGTACACGGTGACCCTGATATTCAGAGCAAATATGAAATCTTAAATGCATAGCTTTTATACTGTATTATGACAACTCCACTCATCTTAGTTATTGAATGAGGTGAGGGCTCAGTTCCATTTAGGTGATATTCTTTGTTTGAGGCATTCAGAAGATTAGTGATACGTCTTTATAAGTTTGAACAGATATTAAAATGGCAAAACTACCAAACTACTAGGTGTGGGTAAGATATGTGTTATGCTTTTTTAAATTTTTTTTTTACAGTAAACAACACAGTTTATTTTTTTAATTTTTTTTCATGGTATGCAGATTAGTCTAAGTTTTACAGTATGTTTTCCTGGCACTATAGTGGTCCTTTAATCCCCTTCACCACAAGAGACGCATAACTAGCATATAAACACATAACACAGCAATTTTGTGTATATATTGCTTTGCAGACAAAAAATGAAAATTCTGTACATTACTACACTATTTTTTCGGTAAGATTTTTTTGCACAATATTTATATATTACTTTTCTTTCATGCTCTTTAAAAAAATATTTGGGGAAGAAAAAGCTTTTAACAGTACAGAGCATGGCCACTTGTAATGCGGGGGGCAAACAGGGCAGCTGTCCTGGGCCTAATTACTCCTGGGGGGCCCAAAGCAGCGACCCTATTTGCCCTCTGCACACAACAATTTATTTTAGGATCACTGATGCGAAAATAAATTGTTGTGGGCTACGGGCCCGCACAATAAAGGGGCTCATCGGTGTGCATGTGTCAGCAGGGGCCCGTTAATAGCGCAACCAGGTCCCCTTTCACATCAGCTAAATGGGAGGAACTGGAGCAGTGACGGAGAGAGGACAAAGTGAGAAGTGGGCAGGAGTGTCAGAGCCTAGCTCCCATCCACCCCACCCAGCACACTGAACCTCAGGGAAGCAACCCGACTGCTAAAGACAAGAAACTGGAAGGTTAAAGTGTAAGTTTTGCATGTGTGTGTGTGTCAGTACAGTATGTCTGTCTGTGTGTGTCTGTATGTGTTTATGTCAATATGTCTGTCAGTATGTGTGCCTTTCTGTGTATATCTCTATATGTCTGTCAGTGTATGTGTCTGACAGTATGTTTGTCAATGTGTCAGTATGTCTGTGCATAACTGTCAGTGTTCGTATCTGTTTGTCTGTGTATCTGCATGTGTAAAGAGAAAAATTGAAAATACAGAGAGATACAGCCGTAAAAAACGGGTGCATCCAACTGTATTAATCTGGAGAAAATCATAAAGTAGTCACATAAACATAAACTGATAAAGTGTATCTCCTTGTGATCAAAAGAAAAAGAAAAATGAATAGATAGATAGGGTCTATCCCAATATCCCAATATATAGATATATGAGGATATAAAACACCAAAACAGAGCTTTAATCAATAGTGCTCAAAAGGTGTTTTCTCATGTAGCCAATGCCTCAATATCAAAAGGGGAGGGAACAAATCTAGGATTGTAAATCCCATGCAAATACCACTGTATAAATCCTCAAAGAGATATAAATGTATAGTCTCAAATGTAAATGTAAATGTCACTATATAGATCCTCAAAGAGATATAAATTTATGATCTCAAATATAAAATAAATAGGAGGAAATAGATATCGTGGAACTTAGAGTGCCCACGGCATATCTATAGACAGATCAGGTTAGGATATAGATATATACATATTGAAAGAACATAGCATAGAAATGACAGAGTTAATTATATATCAATCCAGATGATAATTATGTGCTGGCTATGTCTATGTCTAATAACCAGCTAGATGATGATTAACAAGATAAGTTAGTATATCTTAACATATAAAAAAGTAGCATAAAGATGGAAAAAACTAACTATGTAGCAGACCAAATAGCAACAAAGTATAAATGTATCTATTATATCTACTAACCAGCTAAAAGTGGTAAAGCAAAAAAAGGAAACAAAATAACTATCTATTCGACATATATATAAGTGTCCTCAAGCCATTTCAGTGTAGTGAAATAAGTGAGCAAACAGTGATGTCCAAAAAAAAACCGGACAATAAACACGCCTGACGCGCGTTTCAGTGCTGTTAATAGCACCTTCGTCAGAGGCAAAGGATTTTTCTTTTTCTTCGTTTGTATCTGCATGTGTGCCAGGTTGTGAATCTTGATGTCTGTATGCGTGCCGGTGTGTGTATCTGGATGCTGTCATTATGGGTATCTGTGTATCTATATGTAGTCAGTGTGTGTATCTGCATGTGTGTATCTGTGTATATGCATGTGTGTCAGTGTATGTTTGTGGCAGTGTATGTGTAAATGTCCATACATCTCAGCATTCAAACGCCCAAACTAAACACAAATACACCCCTGCATTTAAACGCCAACACTACACACAAATACACCCCTGCATTTAAACTGCAACGCTACATACAAAAAACACTCCTACATGGAAACATTAACACTACATGCAAACACACCTCTGTGTTAAACACCAAACTATATATAAGCACACCCCTGCATTCAAAAACGAACACTACACATAAATGCATTCAAAACGCCAGCACCACATACAAACACACCCATACAGTCACACAAACATACTCCATACAAAAACTTGCTTACATTCAAATACACAAACACTGCTCAGTGCCAAATACAACCCTGCAAGCATGGGAAAATGATAGAGCCCCAGCTGTCAAAGCATTGTTGGAGTTGCACAACAGATGAGGATCTACCATTTGCCAACTTTGCGATAGCGAGGCCCGCAAAAAGTCTTGTACCTCTCTACTTTAGTTTGGCCACTGTGTTGGGGTGGAGGGCTTGATTGCATGCCAGTGAGTGGAAGAGGGGGAAGGGTCCAGGGGCCCAAGCAAATGCTTGCCTAAGGTCAAATCAATATTAAAGACGGCCTTGGTACAGAGTCCTTTGTCTTGCAATATTTCAAACAGGGACTGAAATGTCAGTATAAAAGCAAAAAATATTTTTTATCATATACAGTAGCTATGATAGGAGTTGACTAATAAAAACAGCCAAATAACTTGCTTCTAGGTATTTTCAAGGACCCTGAAGCATTAGCAGTTCAGCTTAACGAAAACAGCAACAAAATGTAAAAAGAATGCCTGCATTAATGTACAATTTCCACATACAGTAAATACAGTTAAATCATATATTTCTAATATAAAAATTAAAACTGCTATAACAATTTTTTTTCAATCTCTGGGCTGCAAATATAATGCTGACAGTGAAATGATAGTCTATTCCCTCTCCCCCAACTATAGGAATAATATGATTATTGAAACTTCCTGCACTGTTTAAAAGCTCCAGTGGCTTCTAGCAGAGCCATGTGTTCCTCAACAGGCTGATAATTATTCCTAGAGTAGAAATGAGGGCGAATTTCATACTACAAACCACAAGAAAATAGAAACACATACTCAATTTTGATAGTGAAGGGTTTAATCCAATGGGGCTGCGAAAAGAACATTAAAAACACCATAACCACTATAATCTGATGCATAATAATCTGAACATGGTTGCTTCTGTCAGCAGGGGACGAGGAAATGGGCATCAAACTCAGACCAAGTAAGGGGGAGCTGATGTAGGCGGGGGAGGAGAGGTAAGGGAGCTCGGTGGTGGAAGAAGGTGAGTAACTGAAGGGGTTTTAACCCCTTCAGCACCACGGGACGGGGACCCTGAGGGTGGGGGCACCCTCAGGATACTATAGTGTCAGGAAAACCGATTTGTTTTCCGGACACTATAGTGATCCTTTAAATTTGCCAGTTAGGAGAATTTTGTTGTTTATAGAAAAAATTGTGTTAGGCTACCCTCTAGTGGGGTAAAAAGAATATATTATAATAATTAATATTAGTTTGAGTGATATTAAAATCTATGCTCCATGAAAAAATATTATATAAAAAAAAATGTTGAGTGCTTAAAGGGACTCTTCAAGCACAAGTTACAAGTAGATGTTTTAATCACGAGATAAGAACCATACAATAAACTAAATAACCTGTGATATTTAATATATAATATTTAATATCCTTTTATATGAACATTTTCCCACAAGTCTGTGCTAAAATGTATTTTTTTTCCTCGCATTTTTCAGTGCATGCATTTCATTACGTACTGTATAATGCATGATTTTAAAGGTTACAAGGTTGTATTTTGGATATATATGTATCAGGTTTAAAGAGTGATCTATGCGCTGGTCAACTGAATCACCAGAGTCATAACTATTTTGATGCCTCAGTGATGGCCCCACATAACTGTTGGGATCATCCATTACGAGATTTGTTACAGAAAACAACAGCAACTCATCATAGTGGAAGGGGATGCGCTCAAGAGTTATGTCAGTGCTCTGTTCAGACTCCACTTGAGCTAGGAGCCACACCACTACCAAGAATTCAAGTGTATTGAGTTTACTGCACTGCACATCCCCAGCATACACACACTGCATCCCAGGCACACACACATACACACTTCATCCCCAGCACACAAACACACAGAGACACACTTCATCCCCAGCACACATACAAACTGCATCCCCAGCAGACAAAGACACACACTTCATCTTCAGTACACACACAGACACATACTTCATCCCCAGCACACACACACCCACACACTGGATCCCCAGCACACACACAAAGTGTCATGGCGCTGGGCGATCGTATTGGCGGTTGTCACGGGCCCCGCGTCTCTGGGGGCCCTGGCACGCTGTTGGGGCCCATCGGGTGGCCAACGCACTTAGGGCCACCCGATAGGCCCTATATCTTCAGGGGCCATTCAGCACTGTGGCCGTGTAACAGCGCGACCGGGCCCCTTAAAATAAATGCCCCCTGGGGGCCCAGACCCTGAGCTGAGTTAGGGGCCCCAAAATTTCTGGTGGTGGCCCTGGCCCACATTAAAGAAGGCCCCGGTGTCATGCTGTTGACGCACACGCACGTTTTGGGACCAAAGGCCACGTACTGACAAATCACTGCACATTTAAACCATGTAATGCCTTTTCTCAGTGCACTGTCTTGGTTTCCACTTGTTAGTTGTCAGAGAGCGCATTCTTGTTCATATTTTCTGTTTTTTGACATTGGCTTGTATATTGACTTTCCCTACTTCTGGTATCCTGACCTTTGGCTAGTATTTTTTTATTGTCTGATTCTGTATCCCTGACCTCTGCTTGTTTATTGACCTTTCTCTTTAACGTTAAGTCCGGCCATTCTAAGGCCCGGTATACGTTGTTATTGTGTTATCATAGTTTTGCGTGTTGTGCCATACAGTAGTCATGACACAAAGACACTTCATCCCCAGCACACACACAGACACACACTACATCTCCAGCACACACAGACACATACTCTGCATCCACAATGTTTTGGTATCATAGTTTTGTTGTGGGGGCAGCATCCTTAGACTCAGGCAGTACAATGTCCTGGGCCGGCCCTGCTAATAAATATGATTTAAAGCTGCTGTTGTCCTTTCAATACCTGATCACACGTGTAACAGGTTAATGGGAAATTACTCTACTTTAAAGTAATACTTCTTTTTTGTAATTAAATGGACTTCTATCTCCACAACTCACAAATGTGACTGACACGTGGGTGTAGGACTTTCCAGTGCCCTTTATGGATGTAGACCTTTACACATCACTTTTCATATATACACCTTCATCATAGAAATTATAGTCTTTTAAAATCAAGGTGAAGCTAGGTGACTGGATGGGCTAATAGGAGACTACTTGCATAGGGTATGTGCATATGGATGTGGATTATGGGTAATTTGTGATAATGTAGATGAGTGTAACTATGGGTAGGCAAATGCATGTGACTGGATATGTGAATGTTTTTGGGTAGGTATGTATATGTAATTCAGTTAGGAAGTAAGACTTGGTGGGTAGCTGTATGTGGGTATGTGACTGGATGATGGTATGTAACAGGTTGGGAATAGGTGATAGATGCATGTAGGCAAATGCAACTAAACTGGGGCTGGTGGGGAAGACAGAGTGGGTATACTCTGTTAAGCTGGTTTTGTGGGCAGCTGTAAGGAGAGAGTAAATCTGTCTTCAAAGATGAGGTACGCCCCTTAACTCGCCAGAAAGGTAAACAGCACTACTAATCAAAATTGGCTACATTTATTAAGCTGTAAAAAACAGATACAAATCTTTTTTATTGGACTAACAGAATTTTTTAATGACAAGCTTTCGGAAGAACCTCACTTTCTCAAGTCTGAAGCATTTCTGAGCAAGACGACACATAGAATTCAAAGTTGAGTTGTGATACAGGGGTTAAAGCGACATGAGTGCAGATAAGACAGGTTTGATAGAAAATAAACAACATTCTTGCAGAGGGTCATAAATATCTTTCTGAAGAGCAGAGTGAGGGGGGATTGGGAGAAAAAAAAAACAATCACACAGTGCAGAAGATGGTACACTTTATACATACACACACTCACGCACACAGAAATATATATGTATATGCATATGCAAACATAAACACATGAACACATATACATATATACATACATGCACATGAACTCATATACTCAAATATAAATGCACAGTCATAATTATAAGCATACATGCATAAGAGTATGGGAAAGCATAGGTCTACACATAATACTTTGTATATTGATAGAATTATTAAGCTGAAATTTTTTCCACAGTTCATGCTAAACACATTTTATATTATGAAAAGAACGGGCCAGTGTAGGCACCATAAGTCAGCAGACCTGCTCAGACGATGAATATCTTTAAAATATAAATGAATTAAAACTTCCAGATCTGCTACAGATATATCGTGATAAATAAAAGTACGAACACCCTTTGGAATTAGTTGGTTTTCCCCTCCCCCCACTCACTGCCACCCACACCTCCCCCACTCACTGTCGCCCTCACCCTCACACAAAGTCATCCCCTTTACCATGCCAACACATCTATCCCTGCTAATCCTGTATCACACTCCCTTCCAACAACGTTGCCACACTCACTCTATCACATTAATACATCCAATCCTGTCACATTCAACCCCCCTCGCTCTGCCACACTCATCGTGTCATATTAACCCCTCAATCGTGTCACACTCCACTCGTCTTGTCACACTCCCTCCTCCAACCATGCCACACTAGCACCAAATGCTGTCACACTCACTAATTCACACTTCAACCATGTCACACTGAACCAGTTACATTAATCCTCCTTAAAGGGATACTCCAAGTACCCAGACCACTTCTGCCCTTTGGAGTGGTCTGGGTGCCAACTCCCACTACCCTTAACCCTGCAAGTGTAATTATTGCAGTTTTCATAAAGTTAAGTTTACTCATAAGTTTACCTTGCAGAGTTAACTCCTCCTCTAGTGGCTGTCTAGACAGCCGCTAGAGGACACTTCTGTGTTTATAGCACATGAAAACACATGAAAAGTGTGCTATAACGTCGCAGGACAGGGGGAGGGGTCCCAGACCATTTGTTCTGTTAGGGGACCAAAAATTTCTGGTGGCGGCCCTGGCTCTAATCACTTAGCTCTTTTAAGAGCTGTTCCTGATACGCTCTCCAGGAGAGGTCTTTCCCATACGGACCTGGAGGACAGAGACTGATCCAGGGTGGAAGGAAGATGGCAAGACTTCAGTTAAGCTATGACGGTTGTGGAGTCTGCGGTGGTTGTGGTGTCCGATGCGGTGCGTATGGTCCTTGGCGTCAGCTAGGAAGCGTCCATCAACGGAGGTGCCCAGTCGGGGTGCCAAGTGATCCATTACACCCTCATACTCCTTTATTTTCACATATATAACAACCTGTCTGTTCCCCGCAAAAATAGTTGCTAGGTCTATTCTCCTTCTAGGTAGTGTAGCCCCATACTAAATCATCTCCATTTATAGACAATTTGTCTTACGGTTGACAGGTGAAGATCTAAGCTCTCTGAGATAACTTTATAATTCTTCCCAGCTTTATGCAGTGCATAAATTCTTCATCACAAGTCTTCCCAGAGCTCTTTTTTGCGAGGCACGGTTCACATCAACAGATGCTATTTGTGAATACAAAACTTGTTGAAAAATGTTTGAGTGTTTTTTATAAGTCAAAATAGCTCTAACCCACACTTCCAATCTCATTTCATTAATTGGACACCAGGTTTGCCAATCTCCAACTCTAATTAGCTTTTGTTGACATCATTAGCATAGGGTTTTCATATTTTTTCATACCTTTACTGTAAATATCTGAACGATATAGTTAATATGTACAAGATCAACACAGTAATTCGTGTGTTATTAGTTAAAACAGATTGCGTTAGTTGATTACTGTAACTTAGATGAACAACAAACCATATTTTAAGATACATTTTTACATAAATGCAGTGATTTCTAAAGAGTTCACATACCTTTTATTGCCACTGCAGCACGCTGATGTGAGGAATATCGTGGCCTGGTTCTCTGGTAATGGAGCAAACCATTAGCAAGGATGATGGGAGAGGCAAGAGAGACAAGTAGAGAAAATAGGGACTGCACATGGTTCTATATTACACTTAAGTGTAGAAACAAGTTATAATAAACTCTGTACTGCACCCAACTATTTCCCAACCCCGGCGGCACAGAAGTGTAAAGTAACAGAGGAAGAGAAAGGAAATTCAATGCTCATTTCACTCTTATTTGAGCTTGTCGGGCACTAGCACTCCTTTTAAGGAACGATACAATGCCACACTGTTAGTTATGCAACGATTACATATGGCACAAAAAAATAACTAAAGAGTTAAAAACATTGTATGCTAAATCAAGACTGCTATGAAATTTGGTAAAAGGGAGAAAACAAGTTATAATAAACTCTGTACTGCACCCAACTATTTCCCAACCCCGGCGGCACAGAAGTGTAAAGTAACAGAGGAAGAGAAAGGAAATTCAATGCTCATTTCACTCTTATTTGAGCTTGTCGGGCACTAGCACTCCTTTTAAGGAACGATACAATGCCACACTGTTAGTTATGCAACAATTACATATGGCACAAAAAAATAACTAAAGAGTTAAAAACATTGTATGCTAAATCAAGACTGCTATGAAATTTGGTAAAAGGGAGAATGCACTTAAACATCAGTTTTTTTTGTAGCATATCAGTTCCATGTAAAACAAAACATTAGCTGAACAAGAATGTGCACTGATAGACAGTGTGGCATCACTGATATATAACAGCCACTAGGTGGCACTGTTGCAATTAATATGAGTGTAAAAATTGTAAAAAAAATAAAATAAGGTGTTCACCCAGGTAAGAAGGGCTAGTCTAATCAAGTTATAAAATGAAGACAACATCAAGTGTTTATGAGAGCAAAGAAAAAAGCATACAGATTATCATAATGCTTCTATTAAACATGGATCTTCAAAAAACCAAAACAGCACTATTACTATTACATCACGATTATTTTTACTACAAACTTCCAACAAATTCCCGTAAATTCATTAAGCAAAACATAATGACAAACAATTCACTAAAAGGGAAGGGATGTGGCTCAATAATAACCTTTATTAGTATATCAACATAGTTATTTTTCTTCTTCCAGTATTTCATATACATATAAGATAAA